AAAGAAATTTTTACATTACCCTGAAGCGCTTTGCTAGAGATACTGATGCCAGAGTACGAAGTTTGGACTGTGAAATGCACAGCCTGGGTACAGATGAGCTGTCAGTATGTACCCATGCTAGACTTGGCAGTAATTTCTGGTTTATATTTCCATGGTACTGGAAGGAGATATTCTCAATGTAAACAGCCACCTTCCGTGCCGCAGCCGTTCATTGTGTCCTGGCAGGGACACGCTCCCGTGTGATGGCTGCGGCCACCACAGGGCAGGGTGGGCCTGGAGCTGGCTGTGAATGGCCAGCTGAAAGAGTTAATGTGGCCCATTTCTTTGTGCCAGTTTTATGTACCCAACTAATTCTAGTACCAGATACAGCAGAGTGTTACTTTACTAACACGTTATTTTCTTTTCCCTAAGTCTCTATTTTATACACTGGTGACACTAAAGTCTGATTTTGTTTTGTTTATGTCAGATTCCATTCTCCAAATTCTTTCTCTCCAGTCGGGGAAGAGTCCAGGATAACCAGCATCCTGTCTGGTTAGACAAGGCAAGTTTTCAGTTGGCTTTATTTGAAATTTCATTTTAAAAGGCAGTATAAGGAACACACAACTGCTCTGTAGGAAATTTCCTTCAAGATGGCCTGATATAGATAACTTACAAATTCTCTAATGTTTGTGAATTTGAAATTGAAGGGCCTCTTCATGTTATAAGGTACTTATTCTCACATGTGCTAAATGAGAAAATGAAGTTGTGTATGGGCTATTTAAAAATATTTACTTGGAGTTAAAGGGACAAATCAGTACTTGATCTAAGTATCCTTCATTTAACTTTTATTGATGGTTATTTTATATGCAGCATTTGACAGCAAAAATTATGCACTTGTAGTGTAATTTTAAAAATGTATTTTAAAGAAACCCAGAAATCAGGGAAGCAGTGGGAAGGTAGTTTAAGAAATCTTCATAAAATGTCTTGGTCACATACAGAATATTTGGAGTTGGAAGGGACCCACAGGACCATCAAGTCCAACTCTTAAATGAATGGCCCTCATCACACTAACGTATGTTTTCCTAGGAACCTGGAAAAGCAGAAAATAATTGTTAAATAGGAATAAAAAAGGCAGGAAACAGTCAATGTATTTAGAGCTTGCAAAGGAATAGATTCTTCAGAGCAGAGTTTAGGTGACTCCTGTAGATTATCTGTTATTATGTGATTTGCTAAAAAAGAGCTTCAAAAACTCTCTGGACTCTAAAAGCCAAGGGGCTGCTTGTAGAGCTTGCTGCTGGGGCAGGAATAGCATTGAAATCATTAGAATGATCCAGAGGAGTGTCAGTGCATTTACCTAGCTTTGTTCTGTTATTTATTTAGCATATATTTGCAATATAGATTTACATTCAGTCTACATTTAACACAGCATTTGACACAGCCTAGGCATTATTTTCCCAAACTTACAGCAGCAAACTTAAAATCATGGGCACTGCTCAGACCTGCACTTTCAGCAGGGCTTTGGGGCAGCTGAGTTTATGAGGTGGCCTGCACTGGTGACTGGACTGAGCTGTTAATGATGGAGGTGTTTTGTAACCTGTGAGAGCAGAGGGAGCATTTGGGCCAGCCACAGGCTAATAGAAAGCATGCACGAGCCACACAGACTTGTTCTTATATTTAAAAACATTATTCTAATTGGAAAACAGTGGCTAAGAGCCTTGTCTTACTATTAAACTCAGTAATTAAGTTTCATACCAGCTTAAAATTAAGTTCTAAAATGTCTGGTTTGTTGTTTTCACAGAGTAGATGGTGTATCACTATCTAGAATGATCCCTTCCATCCTTAATTACATCTTTGTTTCTCCTATTAGCGAAAGAATTGGGATTTCTAAACACATTTTCATAAAATCAAATTGTGATAAAAGTGGCTGTATAGAAAGCATGAAGGATAAAAGTAACTTGCTTTAGGCTTGGGCCATTTTAAATCAAGGGTTTATTAACACAGTGGTAGACAGGCACATGTGGAGTCATTTCCCACTGGGGTCTGTATTGAAAATGGGATAGTGAAGTGTTCAAACCTTAAAAAATGCTGCTGCATTTTGAACAAATACCATTTTAAAGAAGATGGCTGTGATCGGTGTGTTAAATATGAATTGGGAGATACAACTGAGTTTGATTGTGATATTATAAATACTGTTCTACCCTCTGTGTCTTTTAATCAGGTTAGAACCCTTGGATTCACCATTGGAGATAAAGTAGATGGTCCATTCCAGCTGGAGATTGATTTTATTGGTCTGCTAAACGACAGAGCTCATAAAGAAAAGTTTGCCTATGAAGCATATGACAAGAACACTCCAGTCTAAGTTGGGCTGGTGTCCTTTGAAACATTCTTCAGATATGTGGTTTATTTTTATAAAATACTTCTTAACATGTGGTTTGTAACATCTTGAAGAGCCTATGTAAACATTAAAGAGATAAGTGCATGAAGTGTGGCACTACTGGTATCTTTAAACTCCCAAATACAGAATCATGGAGAGACTGTACACAGATGGATGGATTGCAACGTAGCCTGAGAGCAGTTGTGATGTTCTTACAAAGTAGTAACTCTTCTTGGCTTCTGTCCTGACCTTTACTGAAAAAAGTATTTCGCAAGTTTGTTGTTCTTTTCTTGTCCAACACTTTTATTTTCTACATTGTGGTTTGTTGACAGTTGTAAAACACTTGCATCTGCTAGTTTTAAACTGAAAAAGGTATGAGAATTAATACTCTGGGGACTGGTGCTTAAGTGTGACTCAGCTACTGAAATTTGCAAAGAGCAGCACCAGAAGTGGAAAAGGCAGAAGTATTTCAACCTTTAGCTTTGGCTCCTCTAGATAGCTAAAAAAAGCAAAAGCTGCCATAGCTCTTGTTGCCAAGATGGAAACAAGAGCTATGCAGCAGGCTTGACTTTTCCTTCAGAGCTGTTGACAGTAATCCTAGAGTGATACAGAGCCAAGGTGGAAAGAAGCAGTGCTCCAAAGGAGTAGGGGGAGGAAAGCTGCAGCTCTGTCTGCTCCCTGAGGAAGCAGAGCTTGGCATACTTAGCACCATTACAGGGCAGAGCAGATCCCACTTCTGCTGTGTGCAGTTAGCCTAACTCAGCTGTGTTGTAAGAGTTCACAGCCTCCACTGGTGGCACAGAACCTTAATACCTCCCTTTTGCAGAGAAATCCCGTTTTCAGTAATTCAGGATAACTACTCACCACTTGCTTTCTCAAGAGTATGTTTCAGCTGTCAAATTTAAATAATCAAAGCAGTGACCTCCTCCACAGTGACCTTCTTCAAGTATACTTCAGAAATATTAAATGTACCTGTATTTTCTATGGAAGAGACCACAGTGAAGCAAGCTGAAACAGGATCTTGTACTGTCATCTTCCTTTTGCACTGATTTCAGCAGCTTAATTGTAGAAGAAGGATGATACCAGGAAGATATCAGAGCAAACATCTTTCATGGAGTGGGAGGCAGGTGAGTTGGTGAGGAAAACTTGGCACAGGAAAACACAGCAGTAAATACAAATGTGAACAAAAAGAGTGCCAGAGTAAGGAGCAGTTGTAGTTAGTATACTAAATGATAAAGCCAGTGATAAACAGGACATATACAAAATATTTATTTCCCCCATTAAATTTATTTAGAAATTTGGTTTTTCTTGACATCACAACATTTATTTTATGGGACGTAAATACAGTGAAACATTTATTTGTTCAACAGCTGAGATTACAGCTGCTAAATTTCTACTTCTATCCCTAAAAAATTCAGACAACTTTTCTATGTATTCTTTAATGTAAAAATAACAGCTTCTTTTAAAACCACGGTATTGAGTGTACCTCAACACAATTATAACCTCTTTTAAGCATCTTAGAGGTGAAAAGCAAGAGAATTTTAACATCTGCTATTTACCATAGAAAGGAACAAAACCTTAACTGTTCAAAGTATTCAGTTGGTAATTTGTAAATTCAGTTGTGACTTTTTCAAAAAGGTAGTTTACAATTATGCATTAGTTTGCCAGAGAGCTTGCATATTTTTTCTTCTTTTTGAAATTCCCTACTGTTTCATAGGCATTCAATTAGAAATGCTGAGTAATTGCTGTAACTTAGAGAACTTAAGAATTGATCTGGAGAACAGGGCAAGCAGGTACTTCCAAATCTGGTCATTTTGAACACGGTGGAACATTTTGAAGCTGCTGCTATCTAAGGCCTGATTGCCTGCATTCTAGCACACAACACATTCTGATGCACAAGTGTATCCTAAGTTGCAAGGAGGCTTCTTGAGCATTTTTTTTTCCACTTACATTTTCTTCAATAAATCAGCCTTCTGAAATGGAGTCAAGTCTTGTGACTCCACACACAGAGAGTACAATGCAACAATTGGGGACCTCCGGACGCATGGAATTGATGGTCACCCCAGGAGTGTTATGAGTTTTTCAGATGGGCAAAATTTCATAGATTTTTTACAAATGTGGTATACTCCCTCGATTTAGATCTTTGGGATTTCATGGAGTCTGTTTTTGAGTGGACAAAGGATCAGGGTGTTGAACTCCCGATAATGTGTGGAGTGCACTTAAGGCCACTTCCCTGATTTGAAAAAAAGGGATGCTGCGGGGGGGTTCGTGGGTCGGTGGCGCGGCCGCGCCCCGTTTCCACCAGGTACGGTACGAGAGGAACCTCTCGAAGAAGACGAACCGCGGGTTCTCAGCCACCCCTCATCACCCACGGCTGAGCAAAAGTTTTCCTCTGCTCCCTTGGAGTGTGCGCAGACAGAGCTGCCTTCCCCCCCGCTCTTTCTCCTGGGGGGGATGGGGAGCCGGTCCCGCCGCTTTCCGGGCCGGCCCCGCCCGCTTCGCCGCAGCATTCTCCGCTCCCCCCACTCCGGGCGGGCGCGGAACCGATCCAGCCTCGGCCAGCCCCGCGGGAGGCACCGGACCCCGCGGCTCCGCCCGCAGCCCCGCCGGCTTTGATGGCTGCGGTGATGGCTGCGGCCGCGCTGCAGTGTCCATACGTTCTAATCTCAATTGTTCAAATTCTATTACTCTAATTATATTACTATTTTTATTACCATTTTATTGCTATTAAACTTTTTAAATTTTTAAAAACAAGTGATTGGCATTTTTCACAAGAGGAACAGTATTTACAGTGAAGTCTTAGATCCTTGTTTGTTCTAACACCCAGATAGGCCTCTACGTTTGCCAAGAGCATGAGCCTTTTTCTTTTTTCTCTCTTGCTCAAGTGTCTCGCGCCTTTCGTCCCTGGAGGAAAAAAAAAGAGACTATGTCAAGTTTTAAAGGTAGAGACACTAGCAACCAAAGGAATCTGAAGCTGACCACAGCCCAACACAAGTTTAATCAGTGTGCTGCCTTTGCCATAGGCAGAGATAAGAGTACCATTATGGACTGAACCCAAACATTCAGGCAAATATGTCTGCTGAGACATGCAGGTTTAACACCTGAGGTAAGAGCATGTCAATACTGACAGCTTCTTCCAAGATGAAGGTAAGTCTCTAAACTCTGGAACTGATATTGTTCATGGAAAAAAAAGTCTTAACAAATTCAAAGCAGCCTTTTGTTGGCCTTCTTGAAATTAAGTAGTCATTGGAAGGAAAAATGGCGTTAATACAAAAGTATTCTTTCCTAAACTACATTTAAATCCTAAGAAGAAGAATGAATCATCATATTATTTTAAGTAACACTATCTATAAAAAGATGAGTGGTGTACTAACCTTGTCTGGAGATGTGGCTGTTTGTAATCTTTCCTATGTGAACAGACACCACCAGACCTACCGGGAACAGCATTTTCTTTAAATTCTCCCCACGGTTTCAGTCGTCCTACAATTTAGGAGCAAGAAGAGAGACTAGTTTAATAGTTCAGTAACTAATTGTGTGCTTAACTTCTTATCATGAATTCATCCTAGCTAGTCTGTTTCTTACTGGTTGTTTTGAAGATGCAATGCCTCTTTAACCTGTATTGTCAGTTTCACCAGCCCATTCCCTACAAGTAGTTCTTCTGTAAGTAGAAACAGATGACTATACTTAGAAGTAACACACACCATGCAAAGTTCAGCTCCTCACACGAGATTAAAAAAACCCACCTCACTGTGTAAGGAATAGTTTGTATTTCCTGTACATGCACCTATTCAGTGGAATGCAAGGATATTGATTCTGGTATTTATGGGCTTTTGGTCATAAAATCTTAATCTTCATTAGGGAGGCTCTTGAAGCATATATTATGAAGAAACTTAACGTCAGACTATGTGGGAACCCAGAGAAAAAGGAAAAGGGACAGGAAAAGAGACTGTAACTTTGTCCTCACTGTTTGTATCAAAGCGCCCCTTAGGAGCAGCTGAGTGTGAGGGCTGTGACCAACGCAGGCTGTACAGGGTCACAGTGAGGGCTGTGACCAACGCAGGCTGTACAGGGTCACAGTGAGGGCTGTGACCAGTGCAGGCGGTACAGGGTCACACTGAGGGCTGTGACCAACGCAGGCTGCACACAGTGAGGGCTGTGACCCAGTGAGGGCTGTGACCAACGCAGGCTGTACAGGGTCACACTGAGGGCTGTGGCCAACTCAGGCTGCATGGGGTCACAACTGAGGGCTGTGACCAACGCAGGCCGCACGGGGTCACAGTACCTTTGTGTGGCTGATACCGAAGTGGCCGCGAGAGGCTTGCTTTGAGATCAAATGTCTTCTTTCCACTTGTGGGTTCTGCAGGTTGAACTCCAAACTTGAAGGGGGTAAGAACTACAAAAGGCATCGAGATACCATAGTTAGAATAGCGAGAGCATCGATGTACACAGAAAGACCACACCACGATTGTCAAGACCAAAGAGCCATTAAATGCTCCTGCTGCTACTTCTAAAGACAGAATTGCACAAACAATGTAATTCTCACTTGAAATAGGGAGGGACAAGAGTTGCAGAGTACTGGCCCTTTAGCTATGATTATACTATGGAAGAACACATACAGCTCCATGTGTTTTTCTAGTCCTTCAAGGGAAATTGTGTTTCTTCTATACCTATTTGGAACCAAGTGGTTTTTCACGTTAAAGAAGAATTATTTTGGAACAGGTCAGCTTCAGATCATTGTGGAACTTTTCTTGCCCCTTGAAAACATCAGTACTATCACACAGCAAACCAGGAAGCTCTGGGTTCTTGACATGTGCAAATATCCCTGTGATGCTAAGGGTGTCAATGGCTGGATAGCAGCACTGTGCTGCTGCAGAGATTGTTACTAATCAGAAGACTTCTGACTTTTCTTAGTTTTAGTTCCTGAGTTATCAGGGTGCTGAGGCTGATAACAGCTTGTCCATCAGCTAGAAGCCTGATGCATGCTAACCCTACAAGGAGAACAAGGTGTCAGGAATTCCTTTCTGTGCAGATGGGGTGTCCCTGTGTCTGCTATATGAATCTTTTACTATGTAGTCCCTGAAGGTCTAGAAGACTTTCTATCCTCTTTTCTGTAGGTGACTAGATACCATATGTTTAAGTTGTGGCACCTAAACATTTTATTCAAAGCACTGGAAATCACAGGAAACAAAGAAACTACTGCCATTTCTGAAGAACCAGTCATAAATTAGAGAATTAAATTAAAACCTGGGTCTACATGACATTTGGTAGTTAAAAACTTGTATAGTAATTCAGTAAGACGAAAGTCTTGATTTGAAAGAGCCAAATATTCACCATCCACCTTACCCTTTGATGCAGTCAGATCATTATTTTTTGCATTTCCCTTACTGTTCTTCTGACTTATTAGTTTGCAGCTCTTTTGAGTGTCAGGTGTGCAGATCTCCTCCATGTATGGAGACATTCTAGATGGAGTCTTGAGAAGAGAGCGTTTGTGCTCATTATCTTTTGTGGCTTCTGAGAATCTGAAAGATTTTAGAAATATGAAGACAAATTTAGTCACCTACAAGGAATGTAAGCAATGTACCAGAATATAGAAGGTTCTGCCTTCTATATTATTTATTATTAATTTATTTATTACAGATTTACTGTGTGAAAGATGTTCACAGCTCATACAAAAACCATACTAAAATACCTTGCTGGCATAACACTAAGTTTGGAGCCAGTGTCAATAGCAGTAAGTACTATCAGAAACTACAAAGAACTGACTTTCTTGTTATTTTGAAAAGCAAATATACTTAGGTGCAATAAGCTAGTAGGTTTATTCACCAACAGATATGATTTACTTTAGACCTGGATTCTGTAGTAAAGCACTGCTTATTTTGTTAGTTATAAAATTCATATTAAGAAAAATTGAAAGACAACTAACAGAATGCTGGACCTCAAAGACCTACAAGAGGAAGAAGCTGAAGATTTTGAAACACACAAGTTACCTGCATACCAAGACACACACATTCCATACATATTCCAAATGTGTATATGGAGGACCCCTGCTGTGACACTGTGCCACTGAAGGAGAGGGGAAGTACAGGACAAAAGGAAGAAAGTACCTAAAAACCATTACAAGACTTACCTGGAATACTGAAGAGAGTTTTGATTTTAAAAATTCACAGAAAAATTAATTAGGATAAACAGAAACTATTAGGCTGCCTGGCAAAATAGAAAACCTAACACAGTAGTAGAAGAAAAATAATTTGCTTGATTTTGCATCACTTGGCTTTAGAAAAATGAAAGCCAGGATCTTCTAAGAGACATAAAAATGAAGAATGAAGACAGTAACATCACAGTGAGGCTTAAACCACCCACAAAGCCAGGCTGAAATTTAGTAATCAGAATTAGTCTTGCATAGTTCAGGTTTGGAAGCGAAATAATGTAGTAAAATCATAGTCAATGTTGATTATTTCATGTGTATCACACCAAATGGCTTGCTGGTAGTTTTGGTTTGTACTTTTTACCTGACATTCATTTTGGATGTTGAAAGTACAGAAGGACGAAATGAAGACTTCTGGGATAAAATGCTCCGATTAGCAGCGTTCAGAGAATTGCGTGGTGAGCGCCGCAGGTTACAAGGAGTGCTGGTGGTGGAGAACCTGCCTCTTTCTGGATTTGGGCTGAATAAAAATCTTTTGCCACTGGCTTGTTTCTAGGGAAAAGCAAATTCTGAGTTACCAGACTGTTGAAAATTTATCTATAAAGCAGCCAAGAGGAAGAGAAAACACACAGTGAATCTAAAGCATATGGCCTCTTCAGTTTTCTCCCTTTTTTTCCTCTTTCAAAGCATATTTTAAACGTAAGTATTTTTATTATTAAATTGACCTGACAACACATATCTTCAAATACAGAGTGTCTTTTTCTGATGCTCTTAAGGGATTTGATTTTCTGGTCAGCACCTGGCAATAGTAATTTGTCTGAAGTATACATTGATACAATTAAAAAAATAAATGTAGTGTTCAGGAATTTTATTCATTATTGCTGTTTGACAGGGACAGTGCTAGAGTAATCAACCTGAACAATTCTATGGCCATATTCACTCACACATTCATTGATACGTTACTGTCACTTTTTTAGGCTCTACTGCACTTTGTGAGAGGCCCTGTTAGCAGCTTTCACCCATGTGAGGATGAAATACAAGAACTGAGAACAACACATACTGAATGTATTTTTAAGGAGAATCATATGCAGCCATGGGATGATAGTTCAGGTACAAAAGAGAAAATATTTAATTCCTGCTCTTTGAAAAATAACCTATCCCCTTGGTTAAATTTTGCAGCAAGGTTTGTAATCTTGATTTTTTCAGACAGTTGTAAACAAAAGGTCCAGGAGATCTTTCACAAAAGTAATTGTGACAATTATTTTTACTCAAAAACAAGTTAGTTGTTGGTTTCTACAGCTGTACACTGTTAACACATAAAACTTTGTATTGTTACATAAGTTATATACAAATAACTATATATATTGGTTATAATATTCCACTGCATGTTCACATGACCAGTTACTTACTGATCTAAAGGGACCTGGTAGGACTTTTACAGAAAGACCCTGGAAATAACTGAATATGCCAACAGTGGGTACCTTCCTGTGTAATCTCTTACCTTGACTGTACTGCAACTTTCGTTCAGTTTTTTTTTCCTCTCAATGTAGTCAGCAATAGATTCCATTTTCTTGAACTGAGCCTCATGCAACTTTTTAAAGTCTAAGAAGTTCAAAAATAAGAACATTCACAGATACATTATGGTTCTAAGGGAGTTTAGTATACAATAGGAGAATTTTGTGACACCCATGGTCGTGACCTCAAAGAAGGCAACGCATCCCTCTAATTAAAGGTTGTAGACACAGCTGACCAAACAGGACCAAAAGATTCTATTCACATGGCCCACTACCTGGTAATCTGAAGGATTATAGAATCATGGTTTGGGTTGGAAGAGACCTTTAAAGATCATCCAACCCAACCCCCAAATTCTGCAGTTAAAGAAAACAACAAATAGTTCTACATTTGAGATTATTTAACACATTTTAAGAAGTAATGAACATGAACTAATGTATAGCAGTACAGCACAACCATAGTATTTATAAAGTGGAAACTAAACAAGCAGGAATAGTAGCATGTATGTGTTCCTGTTCTTTGAAAATTATTAATACAAGTATTGTATGGAGAAGTCACCAAAATGTTCAATAAACCAGTTTTTTTTAACATACATGCCAGTCATTTACTACTATGAATTTACAAGCTGGAATATGTACCTTGAAATGTAACATTTGGGAAATTTTTTTGGCTTGCTTTTTAAAGAAAGGAAATTCTTTTATTTGAGCAGGAATAGAAACCTGAGTTGTAAAAACCTAAGTCAAGTCTCCCTTTATACAGAGAACACACATCTCTTCCTAAAGATGGCAGGTTGTCTTACTTGGTGTCGTAGCTGTCACTCTTGCAGACCTCGATGCACGGCCCACATGTACAGGGATCTTCCCTCCTGCAGGATGGGCATTACCTGGTACAGCAAGATTAGACAAAATCATTACGACTCCTGGAGGATTTAAAGTAGTCACAGTACATTGTTCCAGTGTGTGTTTCAAGACATACTTTCTCTTCAAAGTGGGTTTAGGCTTTGAGAAATAAAACCAGCTGGAATAGGTATGTTCTAAGACTCTCAAAAGTGTTTTAATTGGTTTGTCATTAATAATATATCTTGACAAACCACAAGCCCAGCACGAATCCTAAAGTCATATTAGGTTAGTATATGATGATAGTAGAATATTTTTCAGGGAAAGTTTACAAGAGAACTGTGCTTGTGGTAAACAAAAACTTTGAATTCACAGGCTTTGATCTGTGTTTTTTAAATGTTGACACTAAAGAAAAAATACCTTTTGACCAAGTTTTCTGCCACTGCCTTAGTTACATACAGAGTCAAAGTTATTTTTATCGTCTCTGTTCTCAGGTGTAGTAATACACTCATGTTCACATTTTAATGATTTATTTTCTTAAGAAAAAAAAAAATCAGGTAACAACCTTACATCAAGTTCAGTATTTGCATATCAACAGCAAATATTTGCATTTCTGGTCATTCACATCCCCTCAAAAGTAAACTTAGATGACCACAATATATTGAAAGAAATCCTTACTGGAAACAAATAACGGTGTGCAGTTAAAAAAAAAAAAAATTTGTTGATATTAACTGCAGAGTTGTTACTACAGCTACAGGAAGAGAGGAGCACTGTACCAACTGTCAGGATGAGTGATGCCCCCAAGAATCCCCCACATATCCTATTGCTTTTGTTTTTAAAAACAACAACCTTCACAGAAAAACCCACACTTTTGAGTTAGTTCAAAATTATTAGTGGTCTCCCACAAGATTGTCCTTGTAAATTCTATGGAACAACAAGAATATCCATAATAAACTTACAGACTACATACACTGAGCCTAATAGAGCAAATGCAGAAGTGTATCTTGACAGACCCTTCAATATCAAGAAATTATCAGATTAGGTAGACAAACTCATTTCTTCTTCTCAGCTGCATACACAAAGCAGTGGGGGATAAATTAATTCATATTTCATAAAACTCAAATACACTCAGCCCTCTGAAAACTCCTTCACTAAAAGCAAGACTCTGAAGTCAAAGCCAGTAAAATTCCTATGCTGCAGAATTTGTGGATTTGTGTTACAACCTTAAACAAGTAACACAAACCAGACCAATTTTCTTCTAGTATCCACAAAACAAGGTACTGATCAACAGGTGTGCCACAAAAATGGTACGAAGACAGAATAATCAAAAGATAATTTTATTGTAAGTAGCACTAATTAAAGTTACTTTGATCCTGTGGGAACTCAGCATATCACTCCGGATGTCCAGAGTCACTGAGAGAACCCTTGGGGGGCTCAGAGACCTTGGAATGTTGCCAAAAGTGTCTGGTGGCTTGACTTTGATCCTTTTAGAGATGAGTCATCTATGTATGAGGAAATGAGAAACCTTAGTGTTTGAATGGTGTATTTACAGGGTGAAATATAGATTTTAGAATTTTGGTACAGGGGGGTCATGGAGACAAGATGGACGATTCAGGGCGTGGTCCCAGGTTCTTCTTTCTTCTTCATGTCTTCCATTTTCTATGATGATGTTGGCATTTGTGGATTGGTTCATGGTAAAAAATGCACTTGTTAATAAGGGTGAAAAGTATTGGGAATTAAAGGTAAATATGTTAGATGTAATTTTTACTATAAAAGACACAGCCGCCCCGTGGGCGGGGGAGAGTGCACTGGGCTGCCTTGCTGAACAGACCTCGGCTGGGCAGACAGAAAATATTGTAGATAAGAAATAATAAACAAGATCGAAGACCAAAAATTCAAGAGTCCAGACTCATCCTTCGAGCGCGGCCTGCCCAGAACCACCTTTCCCGTATCGGGGCAGAGACAAATAACACCGAACCCCGATAGATCCAGTTTTGTACTTACGTTGTTCTCCCCTGCCTTTAGTAGAAGTCTTCTCTGCTTGTTTCTTCTGGCCAGCACCCATCCTTGGATTCTCAATAGCTCTCTCTTCAGTTATCTCCATTTTGTTTCGTGATATCTTCTCTCGTTTTTTGTACTCACCCTGAGGCATTTCATTTTCTTTCATTTCAGAATGCACCTGCAATTTAAACATCTTTTGTTTAACCAGTTTGCTCCAACTGGATATAAAGCAAAGCTGTTCTGAGAACAGTGGGCCATGGATCAGATTGCCCAGAGAGGTGCACAGCCTTCATCCTCAAGGGTTTTCAGCATCAGGTTGGATAAAGCCCAAAGCACTGGGCTCTAACCTCATAGCTGAGTCTGCTTTGATTGGGAGATTGAGCCAGAGATTTTTTCAAGTCCAAACTGAATTAACCTGCGCAATACTTACCCTATTTCTTCACAAACTTAGATATAAAGCTTTGACCTGCATAGCTCTCACATTTTAGTATAAAATTGCCTTTATGGATTAAAGTCAATTATTTGCAAGTAAGATTAAATTCACTGGGGATGTTACTTTTTACTGTTGTATTCTTGTGTACTGTACAATTCTCTAATACTAAAAGACTAGCACTCCTCATTTTCCTTATTTCCCTCCTCTACCTCAGTAAAAGTCTTTCAGACAGTTCCTAATTTATCTACTTCCTTGTAACTCAAAAAAAAGTCAACCTCCATCTCACCTTGTAACTTTCACTCCCGAAGTCACACAACCCTCACAATAAAAAAGGTTATGAGGTTTAGGCAATTGTGCAACTTCTGATAATTTTTCTGTATCAAAATAGTGATAACAGCCTTATTTTAGGTAAATTCTGAAACTAGTCTAAGATTGAAAATACTACAATGAACTAGTGAAGGCAGCCTTACACTCAGATAAAGTGTTTGGAATTGTATATTTCTTAGAGGAATTTATTTTCTTGAATCAGTGACTAGAAGTAATGTCTGTCTATCATGGGAAAGTGCATAAATGGCCAAAAGTCAGTGCTACAAAATACAAAAGACCAGTACCAGAATGCTTGAATGTCAATTTCTGTACATGTCTATATACATACAAACACACCCCATCTATAAATGGTGATTGAAAAGAAATCAAGTGTGCTTAAATTATGCTCAGAGAGAGGACAGAACACAAAAGCATGCAAAGCAAATCACCTGTTTCTCATCAGAAAGCACTGGGTTTTCTTCACTGCTATTAGTTTCCTCACGGGAGTTCCTCTTTTTTCTGGTTATCTTCTTATCCTTACCATTTCTTTTTGTAATGAAACACACTGAATCAGACAAAATTTCCTCCTGATTGCTCAGTTCATCTGATTTAATAGAAGCAGATGCACTCTTTACAGGACCCTGCAGCAGAAAAATACTATAACTGGAAGATACCTGACACAAATAGGAATTAAATACTCCAGACCAGTTTCAATTTTATTATTTAAAAAAGTATTTAACACTGAGGATAAACAGTAGCACGCCATGTAGCAGCCCAGTAATCAAGAAACTGGCACTATCTAGATTCCCCTAAGCATCAAAGCTCATTGTTTGGAGACTTGAAATACAATTCCTATTATTGCTTTATCATATTTCGTTTTAATAAGATTATAAAAGCCTAGTATTTGATATTTGAAATCCAACTTGCATGATGCCATGACCCTCCCATATTTGTATATTTGTGGAATACTTTTCACCAGTAAAGGGCTCCTTTTCTACTCGTAAAAATTTTTTAAAAGCCTCCAAGGTTTATACCAGTTCCTCAAGACTTCAAAGAAGATTGTTAAGGGATACACTTAAAGGGAAATGTATTTTAGAAAAAGGAGATAAATTACTTTAATCAAAAATATTGCCACACTCAACAAAATATTCTGCTTACAGAAAACTTTTTAAAAAGTTAAGAAAACAAAACACTAAGAGGCAAATAAAGGAAGTAGCACAACTGTATTGCTTTCATTATAAGTGGAAGTAAATTGCAGTAGATGCAAAATACTTTCCAACTAGTACCTAGTCCCCTTCATTTATGCATGCAAAATGCATAAAATATTTTTATATTTGGTACTGAATAGTGTCTGGAGCCAAACAAGGAAGAATTAAGGTTTGTTCAGTGGAAATTAAATGTTATTGTTCACAGAGAATAGGTTTGTAGTGATGTTAAAAAATACATTGTTAATTTTGGCAGCTGAAAGGAAATCAGCTTTCAGTCATAGAGGCTGCCTCAAAACTAACATTAGCATATCTACTTCTATCAGTATATAAGTACTTTAAACGAAGGGCACAAAGAAGAAAAAGGTATTTCTATTACAGTTCCCATTGTGGTCAAAATCACCCTTCAGCACATGCCCTGCTCTATGGGTTACAAATTAAGGTTTGCATTTCTTTAAAACAACGTCTTATTATTATTTGTATACGTTACCATATTTTCACTTACTCCATTTGTCCTTTCAAAGTGCTGCTTCAATGATTCCAATAATTTGTCTGCCTGAAGAGAAATCAAAACGACACGTGAACCAAACAGTCCATTAAGGCACCGAAGAGCTGCCCAGCCCACCCCGCATGCTGTGAACAGATCCAGCAAACGAGCAGGACATTTCCTGAATCCAACAGCGTGAGGCACACCGGGGACTCGCTCGAGTCAGTCATCAGAGACAGTGCCTAAGGCCACAGATGAATCTGCAGCATATTCTCCAAGGAGGCACAAAGGCAAATTTCCTTGACTAGGTTTCTCCTGCTCTATTTTCCAGGAGGTTAATTGCTCAAGGAAGGAGACAAACTGTTTTAAGCCCCACAGCTGAACCTGAATTAAAATCGTGTCAAATTTCTCCAATTGCTCCTGTCTTGCCCACGCTACACACAAAGCATTATTTTCATCCCTCGCATACATTCAGCAGTAATAGTAATAAAACAACAATGAAAACAAGTAACACAAACTCAACACCATTGATAATTCAGGCTACGAAGGACACTTAAACATATAAGTTTAAACAATCAATGTACCCCAAAACTAACATTGCCAGAAAAACTCTCAGTCCTGTGAGGCCAGGGAGCTGCCTTGCCCACCCAAGATGTTTCTTTCAAGGCTTGATGGCTCCTGCCGCTGCTGCCGGAGGAGCCCGGCCGAGCCTCACACGCACCCGCAGCTCCAGCGGGACCCGGGACCGCCCTCCCTCTCCCCGCTCAAGGCACTCCCTTGTCACTGCTCCTCCCGCTCCGCGCCGTAAGAAAAGAACAAGCCAAGCCAAACAAACAAACACACGCAGCTACGCGCGCCGCCGCCGAACGGCGCGGGGACACCGGCGTGGGGGAACAGCCGGGCCAGCGGAGGAGGGGGCAGCCGCCCCTTCTCGATGCCCGCGGGACACCGGAGCCCCGCTCTCCCCCTCCCCGAGCGCTTGCCCGCGCTCCGGACGGCAGCACAGCCCCGGGGCGCCCAGCGCGATGCCACCGCCGCACCCGCGGGCGGTGCCGCTGCCAGCGCCGCTCCAGGCCCGGGAGGGTGAGCCCCGGGAGGCTGGGAATGCGTTCTCGCCACGGGGCACGGGGGCACCCCAGAACCCGGAGCACCGTGGGCATTGTCCCCTCGCAGCCGCCCCCGCCTCACCCGCAGGTTTGCCCTCAGCCCGGCGGCCTTGGCGATGCGCTGGAGCTCAGCGTATTTCAGCGCCTCCAGGGGCTTCAGCGAAGCGAACGCCATGACAGCAGCTCCGAGCGGCCGGCCCTGCCCGCCGCGCGCCAGCCGACACCGCTCGCGCGCAACCGACACCGCTCGCACCGCCCCCGCCGTTCAAACGGCCCGCTGCGCCAGGCCATTGGCTGGGCTACAGAAGGGGAGTGGCCTAGAGGGGCGGAGCGCGGGAGTCGCCAATGGCGGAGCGGGCTGCCGCGCGTGCTTATTTTCAAGTGCGATGAAGCGTTCCCGGCAGAGAAAGGCGCGCGCGGTGCGGCCCGCTACCCAATAGCCGCGGGCGGCGGCGATTGACGCGCCCGCTGACCAATGGTAATGCAGAGATGCGGGCCACGCTCCAATCGCGGTACTCGGGGGGCGGGCCCCGCGCCCGAACGCTTGGCGGGAGGAGATGGCGGTGCGGCAGCGGCTGCAAAAGCTGTTCCAGGAGCCGCAGCTCTCCGGGGCCATTGTGCTGGAGCGGGCGCCTGCCCCCGCCGCTACCGCCTGGGCCTCGCTGTCCGTGCCGCCGCCGCCGCCATCGCCGCCGTCGCCGCCGTCGTCTTCCTTGCCGCCGGCCGCGGAGCCAGCATCGCCGCCGCGGCGGCAGGGTCCGCTGCCGGAGGAGTGCGCCGTGTTCCACTGCCGTAGCTGCTGGACGGTGCTGGGGGACTCGCTGCAGCTGTGCGGGCAGGAGCCGTCGGAGCTCAGCATCCTCGTCTGCTTCAGTCAGTGCCTCGTCGGGCCGGCGGGTGCGGAGGAGGCGCCGCTGCCCCGCGCGGGGCTCGGGGCGGGCAGCGGCGGCCGGGCGGAGGGTGGGCCGGGAGCTCTCGGCTGCAGCGCGTCTCTTTCTCCTCAGAAGTCACCAGCGATGTGACCTGGGAGGACTCGCTGCTGATCGGCCTCGAGGGAGCTCTCCTGGGATGGTGCGTAGGTCCCGTAGTTCTGGCACCGGGCCTGCCGTGAGTGGCCGCCGCGGTAAATCGTGCGGGCAAAGCCGGGCGCGGGGGTTCTGACAGGCCTGGCAAGTTCCCAAGTGACTTCTGTGCCTGTTTCACACTTCGGATGGAGAAACCTTTTGTAGGGATGTAGTTTTCACTTGAAATCAAAGAGTTTTGCTGCTATAACCTCTGTAGGTGAAGAGAAGCGTTCGAGCAATGCAGTAGATAAGACAGAAAACAGCTTAACTTGTAGGTCCCTTTCTTCCCTTCCCTAAAAGGTCTCTTACTTAAAACATCTCAGGGTTTGGTTGGTTTGGTTTCGGGGGAGGGGTGGCTATTGGTTGGTTGGTTTTTTTTAATACTGAAAATAAAAAATTTGTGCTGCCCTATTGAGGAACTTACCGTTTGCAAGGTTAGCTAACTCAGTCTAACAGGAAGAATGTAAAATGTCATCTCGGGGCTTACAGAACCAGTAGCTGGTTTAAATAATTTTTAAAGGCTGTTTTACAAACTGTCAGGACTGGGAACTTTTTCAATATAAGATTGCTCTTTTTTTGACTTTTTTCCTTGCCCCTCTCTCTGCATGGGGTAATCATATATTTTATTAGAAAGAATTTACAACTGGTACATGCATTGTTTTATTACTTAAATAATGTTTGAGTAGAATACTCTAAACCACTCTGTGATAATAAGATGTGCATTTTCTTCCTTAATAGCTACTTCACTTATTAGAGAGATTACTTCTTTCACAACATGCCCAATTTCTTATGGTCATGTTGTTTTTGTACATATTACTTTTTGGAGGAGGAGGCGTTGCGTTGTTATGCCTTGGATTTTGCCCAATGGAACTGAAGATTTGATGCCCTCTGACAAAGATATAGCATCTGTGGTTTTGAAAGCTTCTGTTTAAAAACACTTCCCTTTCTCCTTTTAGTGCTTATTATTTATTATTGTGTCGGTCTTGTGGCTTGGCCGTGGGCTTCATTCTTTATTCTTCTGGCAGTGACCTGGCACATCTCCGGGACTTGTTCTGTTTCTTCAAGGACAGCATCATGTGGTGAGTGCACTGCATTCTTATGGCCACTGACTTCACAGGTGGCTGTAAGTTACTGTACAACTAGCCTACAGCTAACAAAAGTGGTTTGACTTTTCTCTGAGCACACTGGTGTGGGATTTTAATATTCTCGATGTCTAAATTGTGTTGACGTGAATCCCTTTGATTTGCCTTGCACCTCTTGAGTGTCCTTGTGTAAGGTAAGACTTCGTATTTAGTTGTGTGCAATGCTGAAATCTCTTCAGTTCCAGATTCATCTGGCTAATGTAAGGTTATCAAAGTCATTCCATGACAGGCTGAGGGCTTGACTACAGCAGCTGTAAATTACTTATAGCAGGTGATGAGAGGATCTTGATTCCAAAGTAAAACCATTGTTATGTTTTGAATATTTTCATAATTATTACTTTTGGCAACAACCTTGTATCTGCTTTAAAATCATCTTAAATCGTCTGTCTAAACAGTGCAACTATAGGTTTTTAAACTGTTTTTCTTGTGGTTTTTTTTTTCCTTTCCCCTTTTGTTTTCCAGTTACCTCTTAAAAAATCAAATGATTATAGAAGCTTCTAAGGTGAATTTTCCAGCTGTGACCTTAAAGGAAAACATGCAGAAAGTAAGATTTCCACAATAATGAAAAATACTTTTAAAATGCTGATAATTTTGGACATTAATTCAAAGACATTGACACAAATGTGGGATTTTTTAGTGCCTAAGATTGAAAAAAATGCTGCCTTATTTGACAATAACTGACTCAATTCATGAGACGTGAAGCATTTTCTAAGACCTCTAAGCTGCGGAACATACCCAGTTGTAGCTAAATTTTGGCAAGTTTGTTATCCTTTTTCTCTATACCTTGCAGAGAAAAAAAAACCCTGAAATCATTTATACAGACTTGGCCTAAGTATTACGACTTGTGATGTCATTGTTGAAGAATTTAAAAATATACCTTTTTTTATTTGAAAGGGATTTTTAAAGTTATATTTTTATGTCTGCATAAGCTCAAAACAGCATGATAGTAATTGTAGTTTCAGAGGGAACTCTAGGACCTCCCTCCTGTTTTGGTGTTCCAGTTGGATGTTCTATCTTTAACCTGACTAGTTATGTCAGTTAATTGCCTGTGCCTTAGCTCAAATAAATTATTGTGTGTAGGAGACAGCCAGCATATCCACTATTTATGTGATAATTTTTTCATTACTTTTTTTTGGGGTTGAATTTAGGTTTTAGTTTCTCTTGTAATGGGCCTTCTATATTTCTTAAGTTCAGTCTTCTTCCAAGTCATCTTCCAGTTTCTATAAGATCAGAGTGTTTTAACAGGTCCAGTGAGGCTAAAATACAAAAATCTTATCTAGATAAAACTTCTGAAGTTGAGACATGATTTAGTAATAATACATGACTGAAGTAAAAATATGACAGCACTTCATTGCAAACACAAATTATGTGACTGTAGAGAGTTTGCTTGTTGACCAGAACAAGCTCCAGCATCTGGCCTTTGCTTTTTGAGACATAATGTCCACATGTATTCCTAAGCTAATGAGGAAACAGGGTGTCCACATATTGTCAAAGAAGGTCTCTGACTGTGTGAAAACTTGAGTTAACTAGGAAAGTTCAGGTTCATCACAGTAAAACTGCAGCAACTCCATCTCCATCTTGCATCATGTCCCTGGAAGGGCTGATACAGGTAAACATTGATCCATCTCCAGTTTTTAATGAGCCCTCTGATCTGGGTGCTGGTTTTGTCAGTACTAAACATGCAGTATAGAGATCAAGCCCCTCTATATTTTCCCATCTTGAAAGTGAGCTGCTCTTTAGCCACTTAAAGTGGGGTGCAGGTCATTCAAAGATCCAGTGTTAGAAGATTTTTTGCTAATTTTAATACTCTTCTCTTTTTTCCTAGATGAAAGAAAAGCTTGTGGAGTTAAGTGGTCGTGTAGAATTATTGACTAGGAAGCTGGATAAAATAATTATGTAACAGAAGAATGGCAAAACTCTTCAACAGATCCTTACTGATGACTTACTATCAGGATGTGCAAGAGTTAATGCCAACCAATACCCATTTTCAAGAACTGCTGGAGTTGTTTCTGCATCTCTGCTGAGTTTGGTCATTACAAAGAAATAATGCACCAGACCAGGTGTGAGTATTGATCTGTCACTTTACTGTGTGTGGAAAGAACTGACGATGAAGTGCCTCCCTTCAGGAGGAGAATCTGACACACTGAAGTTAAGCTTGGAAGACTGAATAGCTCACCCATGCAGCATGTTACTCTCTGAGGCTCTGTAAATATAACTTTGGTTTTTCTAATGACTTCAAGGGGAAAACCAGCCTTTGAAATACTGAAGTCAGGTTTCTGGAGCTATGCAAAATATACTTAACAAGGTGATGCTATTCAAGAGCCACCATTACAAACTGAACATTCTTAAAAACCTGAAGCTCTTGTCCTGCCTTTTAATACAGACACATTGTTAATGGCAGCCTTGGTTTTAATGGCAGCTACATTTTGGTCAAGTGGCTCATTAGCTACATCTGATATGTGAGCCACTGCTAAATGGACTCCTGAATAGTTCTGAGATTTGCTTGTATGCCTTGCCTGCAAAAGCAGCAGACAAGCACGTCACAGATGCTGCAATGTTCTTAGAGCATGAGTCTGGATGGCACCATGGATGCAGAGCACAAGGTTTTGAATTTCAGGTAAAGGGCAACCCACGTGCCTTCCACGTCTGCTGAAGTGCAGCCCCAGGAACATGACTGAGTCAAATTTTGCCAGCTACGGCTGTGAGCAACTGAACATTTCTTTCTGGAATGTTAACTATGAAACCAAGGAACAGTCTTCTACACAATCGTGGAAGCACTGCTTTCCCGAAGTTATGATTGCCTGGCCAGTTAGGATGTTTCATTCAAAATACCTACTCATGGCTCATTGGCATCGCTCTCTGTTGAAAATTGGTTCTACTTATTTCCAAATATTTAGAAAATAATTTTACAGAAAAGAAAGCACTACTTACCCTTTTTTACTGGGACAGAATATCCCTAATTCTTGTTTTTGGAAGATTAAGGTCCCTTTTCCTCTCCCCTTTGCTGCCTAAAGGACTAATGTTTTTTCCAAAAGGGATAATAAATTTATGGAAAGTTAGTAGTTTGCTGTAGTAGTCTAGAGAGGATTCTATTTACTTGATCAGCTTAATTCCAGTGATGCAAATTGCATTCTCCTTCCATGTATATCACCAGCAGGTTGCAGACCTCGTTGCTGCTGCTGCCAGTTCTGTGTTTTGTCTTATTTGTAAAATAACTCTGCTTGGAGCAGAGGGGACAAAACTCACTGAGATAAGGCACCTCAGAGGTTTTAGGTGGGCAGCTGGTACTTAGGCTGCTACTAATGCTCACTGTGCTGCCTTCTGTTTGGGAGTTCTTATGGTCTCAGTTCATTGTCATAAGCACAACCATAGAGTATCAACAGTTGTTCTGCAAGGAGAGGAGGGACTCTCACAAATTCTAATACCACCTATGTAGTACTTCCTTAGTGCTTGTGTAATTGCATGAGTCTAAGAAATAGGATTGATAATGGGACTGTTTGCTTTTGCTCTTTCATTCTAGTTTCTGCATTGAGACTGTTTCTTGCTATTTTATGTCTGTATTATGAATAATGTAAAATTGTTTTGCTTCATTAGTACTGATCCCTAAAAGAAAAAGAAAGCTGTCAGTTACATTTTTGTATTATATTTAAAGTTGTGAAGAAAGAACTTCGTAAATAAAAGCTGAAACTCAGAAATTCCTATGGTCTAAATCACTGCCACTATTATGTGAGTCCTAGGCCTCCTTCTTTTCCTTTGATTATTTTGCAGAAAAAACCCATCACTTTATCTTGCTTGGATCCTCATTTGTTATGAAGCATTAAAGTATTGGTTCCACAAATTGTATTACATAGCATGGATTTAAATAAATAATGAGTATGTGCTGACGAATAGCAGGTAAATTTTTAAACTGCATTTCTGTAATCTTTGAAACTGGGAAGACCTCCACCAACCACAGAAGAAATTTTTTGGAAGTGCAGTCACCGAAACAATAAACAATACGTCCATAAAACAGTTTTCTGAGGGGCCTTGTTACTTTTAGGCAATGAATACAAGAAGCAGAGAATTGAAGGGATCAAAGTTATGCATCTTAGAATGAGTGGAATAACAATTTTTGTTTAGCTGCTGTTTAAGTCAGAAGCTCTGGTGCATGAAGTGCACAAGAGCTTGTGCATGCTGGGACAGGTGGCCCCAAAGCAGATATCCAGCATATATGAATTCAGCCTGAGTTGTTAAGTTTTGACAAAGCTACAGCAAGTAGACCTCAGAAGTGGAGTGGAATGTACAGTAATTTGGTTAATTTGTCTTCTGAACAGATGACACATCCAGTTTTAGTGCATTCTCAGCCTGTGCTGCTTTATTGCTAAAAAAGTTTGTATACAGGTGCAGAGTTTCCAGGTTCATTTTTAAACAGTTCCTCTTTACAGTGTCAAAAGAATAAAATCTTATCTTGAAATCCTCAAAGATGCATAGATATAAAAGCAAGCTGCCTTTTGGAGAAAATCAGAATTTGCAGGGAGACATTCTTTCACTGTTACCATGTAAAACGTGTGCAATGGGAGTACATAGTCTGTAGTCACACCAATAATTTCCTCCACTAATCCATGCAAGAATGCTATCAGAAGTTCAGTATAAGTATTCTTTAGCCTATTAAGTACTAAGGTAATTTTTAGGAATTTATACCTAATATTTTTCCTTTGCTGTTATATTTTTCAAAAGGAAAATAACTTCACTGATATTCTGAAGTAGCTTTTCCCCAAGTTATACTGAAGGGAAATACAAAGAATACAATGGCTTACTCATTACAATACTTAACAGACTTTAAAACCATGCATAGTGTTCTAAAGAATTAAAAGTTACCATGGTTAACCACTGGGCTAACTTTGCCTTAGAAATTTTCTTGTTTCTTGAAGAAGTTGGCTCAAAGACTTTCATTCAATCCAACTTTTGATACCATGGAATAGTTATCTTCTAATATTCATATCTTCATTTGGCAATCCTTACATATTTAAAAAGAGCATTCATAGGTAAAACCACACTTCCCATTCTAAACCCAAAACACAGTGCTTTATGAATGGTTGGCTACGAAGTATGAACAGGAGTTAACTTGACACACCTTTTCTTCCTCCAAGACACTTCTTTCTACTTAGAGAGGACTGAGCCTCTGTACATGGAGAAGTGTTCTGCACAAGTTAAGCCCACTTACAAAATTAAGCTAAGCTACAAGTATGGAATTCTGCAATTACAAGCCAGTATTCTATATGTTTAATTACAAGTTTAAACTTGGAAAAGTATTAGAGATGTAGGCTATGCCACATATTCTCTTATTTTCAAACTGCCAGCAGAAATTGACTGTATTATCCACTAAGAGACTTGAATTACAGAGAACACACTAAGAGTTTACAGAAAGATGGCACCCAAATTCCCTTTTATCTAGTAAGTGAAATAAAGAAAAAAAGACAATTGCAACCTCTGTTGCAGAAGATAAAGACCTTCAGTGATCAAATCTCATTTTCTGTTTTTAAAAATCTCTTTAAAGAACTTAAAAAATATACAAGGTTACCAGTATTTTCAGGTTCATTCCTGCAGATGCCATTATTGCTGGCTGGTACCAGTATGCTTCAGTACAGCTGCCTATGTGGCTAGAGTTACCTGAAAATACTGTCTCTTAAAAAGCTATTCAACACCTGAAAAATATGTACTGTGCTTATTAATTTCAGTATTCTCCAAATAATTTCTCTCACCACACTCAAGCTTATTACCTACTGTCTGGCAAATACTACACTCAATTTGAGTCTGTGGTTCCTGTTACTCATTTGTCAGCTTGGGTTTTGGGGTGATTTTTTTGTGGGTTTGATTTTTTTCCTTCCCACCAGTCGCTCCCCTGCACCATGTAAGAAACTCTGCACCCTTTTCCTTGCTACAGCTGCAGCAGGTGAGAAACCTCATCTCGCCTCTAAACATGCTTAGTTCATGCCCTGCTGTTTACATGCTCAGGACAGTGATATGAACCAGACTAGAGGTTATAAAGGCGAGTTCTGCTGATTCCGGTTCCCGATTTACAGTTTTGGTGCCATGCTTCTGTCCCTATCTATACATTCTGCCCCCTTCTCTACAGAGGCAGCACATTCTCTAAAAAAACCCAAAATCAAAGCAGGAAGTTCAAGCTATTGGTATATTAATTCCTATTGCTTCATTATGTATAAATGCATATCTCAATTTACTGGTAATAACTACATTACACTAGACATTTTGAATCATGCATAATTAGAATACTAGCTCTAAGATTTGGTTTGTGGGCCTGTGCCGCTTTCCTTCAGTTTCTCCATGCAGTTCTTCATGCCTAAGGCATTACAAACTACCTGCCTTTTATTTGACCTGCAAACACACTCATTTGGAGGGGAAGTGGAGAGAAGCAGACAGGATTTACATAGGACACACTGAACAGAAAGTTACCTTCTGTCTTTAACTTTAGATGGGGTAAAAGTCTTGCAAGTTTGTCTGTATTATAACCCGGTACATAGGCTCAGAGACAGAAATATGCTCTGCTGACATCATGAACACTGACACTTTCTCTAAAATGCAGGAGGAAGTGTAGAGATTGAAAGGGAACAGACATCAGAAACCATGGTTAGTGCTCTGCACTGTTGAACAAGACACCCTGATTCAACTGTTGGCTTTTGTGCGCCAGTCAAAGTGCTACAGGGGCAAAATGCTGGATCGTTCCATGAAAGAAATCCAATGGAATCTAACTTGAATTGTCATTTTGAAGCTCTGTACCTGATCAGCAAGCAGGAATATTAGTTTTGGAGGAAGACCAGCCAGTTTCCTAAGGATGCAAGAAGCACTAATTTCTAAGATTTGTTATACATCAAAAATAGTTCTATCTTCAATATTTTTTCCTTTTCTGCCCCCCAAAAAGCCAGACTGCCAGTTCCTGACAATGTAATCCTCATGTGAAGTGTCAGTATCCTCAAGCTCAGTACAATTTCTTCCGACTTACTATCAAGAAGTCTTTGCAAGACTTTATTTTTTCTATAAATTTGACAAATACCCTCAGTTTCAGAAGGTACAATTCCCAACACAAGTACTGGCTAGACCTTCTGCAGCAGCACTACTGGATATACAAACAGAACATATTTGTATCATCTGCGTTTAGTACTGCTAAAGGAGGCATGTCCATACTGGTCATTATACCTTTTGATATACCACACTCAAGAGTGGTAGCACCTGACACTTCCACTTCAGTTTAGAAGCTGTTAAAGCAAGGAGGTTGAAGCAAAAGTCATGCCATAGTACAAGAGCTGAAAGGCAAAGGGATTTCTTTTCTTGCTGTGAATAGTAATTCCTAGTCAGCAACCCACAGAATTCAGATCCTTACTAAAAGCCTGAACTGGGAAATATATGTAGATAGCTTGCCTGGCTACATCAGTCTTTATTTCCTCCCCTCTGTTCTGAGTGGATATACCCTTGAAGAATTCTGTTCAGCCACAAAGTTCATACTTCTGAAGCATGAATATGACTTTGTTTTCATTATAATTTCATTATTATGTAAATGTACTTGCTGATCACAGATTTCATAATTTATCTAATGCAATCAGAGAGCAATCAAATGAAGGTCCCCTATGGCCAGCTTCCAATTTTATCAAAAAATCAACAGTTGGAATTTAAGCTGATTATAATCTTTCAGATCAATTAGTTTTCATAAGCATATTACATATTAGCCAACACTTAATTTAGACAGTCTCATGCTTATCCTGTTACTTTATACTGCAAAAATGCTCACAGCCCTCACAGTTCCACTGTCCGTTTATGAAGAACCAAAGTGCTTCACCCCCATGCTTTAAAAACACAAGAAGCTTCCATTAAGCTGAAAGCTTAACAGACTAAATTACTTCAGCTTTGCAGAAGAAATGCAGCCAGACTGATCTGATTCTGTTCAGAATACACTACTATATGTTGGGGCTCACTGTGTCCATTGATGAGGTATCTACACTGAAAAGTGTCAACTAGGAACAGTTTAGAACTCCTGTGGCTCTTTTATGCAACCCTTTGATGGCAAATAATTTTTTGGATGCAGATCTACAGGTGAAGATCAATAACCCTTTGTGTTACCAGAGGCTTCACAGTACTTTCCTCTGCAAAACTTCAGGCATCAACTGAAATCAATTGTGGTCTGAAACAGTGTTTAGCAAAGCTGAAATTATTTTCTGCTGTAGCATCTTTAGACTTCTACAGTTGTGCGTGGCATGCACAAATGTTTTGAGGGTCAAGTGCTCTCTAATGTTTTGAGGTTTTTTTTATTTAAAGACTACCTCAGATTGGTCTTGATAAAGAAAGAAAACAAAAATCACTTCCCACCACAAAAACTTCTCACTTTAGAATCAGGTTCTCTTCACAGTACAGTATTTGGAAAAGTTTAGTTTCTCAGAGAAATACAGCAAGTACTAGGCTACAGAGAAAGAAAAACTTCAGCTATCCTTTCAAAGAGAACTGTCTGCCCTTCCCCCAGCACTCACTGACAGTGCTTCAGACTTGTGGCAAAGCTAATTTTTCTTTTCTTTTTTTAATATATATATATCAAGTTCATTAACTTAGTATTCAAGTGCCAAATTCCCTCCAATGAGAGGAACATAAGAAGAATTCACCTTTCTTCTCAGGAAGACTCTTCACACAACTCCCTGCAGCACAGAGCGCCACAAACTTATTTGGTTATTACCCACTTACTCTACTGTACAGTCTTGCTAATGCAAGTTATTTACTATCACATGCAAAACAGTTATTGCTACTAAAGTTCTATTTTCTTATTAAATCATCTTATGGCTTTGTTTGCATCAGGGATTCTTCCCCCTACATACTGTGCTATTTTGCATTCCAGTTTCAGAGGTATTTTTCAATTGATTCTCCCAAGCACTAAACTACTTTATTCAATGGTACAGCTATGTCCATTTAGAATTGAACCTGACTCTTAGCACAGGTCCCCCAGAGCTCTGCTGTAAATGGCCCACCTGTCCAATTTTCTCAGAAATTTATTAGATGCAGAGGGTTGTTTGGTTGGTTTTGTTGGGGTTTTTTTTCCCTGTTACATACATTAACTCTGCCTGGATTACTGTCATTGCACGGAAGTACATGCTTCTTGATTAATTACTTTAAAGATATATCGTACCAAAATTACAAAACCAAGCTACCCATTCCCTCCCTCCCCCTAATGGCCATTTACAGGCAGGTCTCAGGAAAAAAAGATGCAGTATCCTCTCTAAGCTGAAAGAGAGAAATGGGTGAAGAGCAGCACTGGCATCAAATAAAAGACTTATTCCTAGGAAATCAGAGGATGCCATCCACAGAGCAATGCACATCTCAAGAATCATACCAGTCTCCTATTCGACCAGTCCAAGCTGTCCATTGAGTGCTAAATCAATTTTACTTCCCTGGTCTAAACTTTCCTTCTGAAAAAAGCAGAGGGAGAGACAGAAATCATTAAAATTGAGCTTAGAGCTGGAAAGCAAAACTGGAAGTTACCTAAAACAGAAGATACTGAATTCTCAATAATACAGGGGTGGGGAATCTCTGATCCATTGGCTAGAGACAGCCTGCTGCACAGATACAGCCTGCAACATCCTTTTCCAACAGCCTTTGACCTTAACGTATTCTCTCTTATTAAGATGTATGTAAATGCAGGATCCACCAAAGTTATTTTAAGATTCAATAGGATTTCAGCCAAAAAAGGTTCCCCATTCCTGCAGTAATGGAGGAAAGTCTTCTATGCATAATGAGCACATCACATTTTGCAACTATTAACTTATCACACAATGAGGATAATGTTTTGCTAGCTATAACAATCATAGAGTCAGAGGTGAAAAAAAGACAAGATTACTTAACAGACTTTGTAAATTATCTGAAGGTAAGAGATGTGTACACAATGCACACAAACTCCTTAGCATATTCATACTTTTGTGAGTATATCACAGGATGGGTAATGGATGGTTCAATAAAACTGAAAATGGAAGAAAACAACAAAGCTTTAAAAGAAAAGAATCACGCCGATAGGGATGAGAATTATGGATACTTGCATACTCTAGCTTACTACTGCAGTTGGACAGACAGACAAATATCAAAAAGTCAACTATGATTCTATGAAGCCCATTAAGTGAATGAGTTCCATTTCTAAGGATAGCATTGCCATTGTCAAAGGGAGGATACTGCATGTTTAGACCATGTTTGTGACATTCCTATTGTATCCTTTCTAGTGTTAATTACATTATCATCACTGTTTACTAATAAATTTGTCACTCAGAAATTGTAAAAATACTACTAGGCTCATGCACTGGTCCTAACATGGCACTACAGTTTGCTACAAAGCACTAATGCTTATGGAACTATACACATCTCAAAATGGAAGACATTGGTGATTTTGTTGTTTTCAAACAACTTGTAACATCATTTTGTCCACAAGTATTAAAATATATATATGTATATATATATATATGAGCTATTGCACATGCCCCTTGTTTTTGTAATCTTTCACATGGGAAGATTTCCAACCAACACAAAGAAAAAGCGGAGCAAGGAAGAGTGAGTCAGATGAAGCAGCATTTCCAAACACAGCAGCTCTTTAAAGGTGCTGGCCAGGAAGGTACACCAAAGGGGGTCTTCTGGGCATGCACTATTGGAGTATTACTTCTGTGAAAGCCGCAGATCCTTTATCTAATAAAATCCTGATGTTCTAAAATTAAACTCAAAAACTAATGCTGCTACACTGTCATGAATAGGAGTTAGGAAAAAAATCAGTCATTCTACTTTTTTGTTACAATGCCAGGTTACAAAATAATGAGTTTAAGGAGCTTAGATTATCAGCTCTCTAGTCAGGCAAATTTGCAATTTTCGTACATGTCCACAGAAAACAAAAATACCTTCTGGTCTTGTCATCAAGCTGTGCAAGAAACAATTGCTATCTCTAACATCAGAGGGGTAAGTATGGGCAGAAGGAAGAAAATTCCCAGATCTAAAATCAGACATTTCTTATACCACATACTTCCCAACCACTGTAATCCTACGATATTGACAGTATTTTCCATCACTTAGAGATGGATCCTGCTTCTACAGACATCTCCATTAAATCCTATTGACTTCAACATAAGGAGGCCCTAAAACAAAGTGCGCTTTTTTAGCTGCCTCCAATGCCAGAAAGTTCAGACCATATTCAGCAAAGTCAGGCCAAGCTGGTGGTTGCCTCATCAAGCTCAATGTTAACTCTTATCACACAGCTCACCACAATGTTACACACCATTTTAGAGCACCTCTCTGCTCATTAAAGTTGGCATTACTTGATATGCAGCGCCCTGCCCACCACTCTTTAAGCTTACGTGTCTGCTCTTTGCTTCATGGAAACACAAAACGGGTAAAGCTGTCATTAAATCCTATTGTTACAAAACAAGTCTAAACACAGACATTACTTGGACAATTAGGATCAACATCAACACTTGTCCTCACTCTACTATGGAACTTGGTCCCATAAAATGTCACCACATTTTTGATACTAGAATGCTGCCCTGGCAATCAATCACCAAGATTTAAGAAGGATTTCAATTGTTTGCTTTTTCAGCTACTTTCACGCTGTCTGGCTCTCTCCAGCAGTTTTCTAAAAGGAAAAATAGAACAAGAAATCTAGAACACTTCCCCAACCATTTTAGTATCTCCCATACTTTAAGCTAGCAAGCCACATTTCTAAATCACAAGCTTGGAATAAGGTGCACTAAAAAGAGTTTCAGTTTTGAGGTGGAATATAATACATATCCCAGTTCTGGTAGTTTTTTGCCAAAAATCTTACTTGTTATAGATAATCCCATAGTAGGGAGCACGTAAACAATATATGCTCCCATCCCAGAATGACAGAAAAAATCCTATATAATCACAAATTACATAGACAAAGAATCTTGTGTAAACATGAGAACAACCAGATTGTGCCTTAGTTTGGGAAGGAATAAGAAGAGCCAGAAAAAGGACTGAACTAGGTATTTCTGCTCTCAACTCACCCCTCTTACGTGGCTAACATTCCATTTTCTTGGGCCTATTTCTACCTAGATGGAGGAAACATACAGGTCCTCTCAGGCATCAAAGAATCAAAAAATGAGATTTCATCAGCAGTAGGAAAAGCTGAAATTGTGTTGAGGAAGCCAGGTAGAGAAACTGCAACTTTACAGCTCTGGTCTCTTCAATCCCATCAGAAGTTAATTTCTATAATAAAGAAAGATGTTCTGCCCATCTCTTCTACTGTAGAATGGTCTTGTTCCTTTTGATGCTAAGGATTCATTAAAAGCCTGAGGAAGGTAATGATATAATGCAAATCTAGTCATTATCCTGTTACCCCAGAGGCCTTCAAAGCTTCTTTTTTCTTTGCTAAAAATGAAATGATGCAGAGTAATTTCTTCTTCAGGTGAAAGCTCTTCATATCCTGCACTTACAGAGGTCCACACATGCAAATACACATTTTGATCACAGCCTGGGACACACAGTATGGACAAGGTGATTCTGTATTTGTTCTTGTGCATTAGCTGCGTTATGTGAGTTCACACCTATCTACAAAGTCAGGCCTGGGACCTGGACTGGAAAATACCTGTATGAGATGCCCCTAGTTGTTTGGTAAGCTTCTTCCTCATGTCAGAGCAGAAAACATTCTGGTTTTCCTGCTGCAACTTTTCATATATATCAGGTCAGTCTGACACAGCAATGCATGTAGACGCTTTGTCTGCTAGGAATTCCAATTTGACACAGCAAAGTACTTAACCTTCCTAAAATTAAGAAGGAAATACCAGTGAAAAACACCAGCTTCCGCTTGCATCTGATTACAAAGTATTTTTCATTTTAAAACGGAATGCAGAAAGCTGAATGAAGAGCTGGCACAGAAGACATTTTTTTAGGAAAACAAATGTTGATTTCTGTTACTCTGCTTCTGAGTTTTGATAAAACAGTGGGCTGCTTCTGTGGGAGAAGTCATCTGGTGAATCAAATGTTTGGTGAGATGATTCAAACAGAAGTGGACAGACCTTTGTTCATTCAGCTCCATGGAAATGAAGGACGGGTTTTGCTTGCTAGAAGAGAAACATCCACATTTCATAGCCTTTGAGCAAGTAAGAAGACCACCTTCTTAGGAAAGGATCTGGAATTCCAAATTAAAAAAACAGGGAAGGTAGTTTAGGAATCAGAATAAAATACAATCAACGTTAAAATGCCCACCAGTTCACTACTTTAAAAGCCTGACTCTAATGGATAAAATCTGGTTTCACAAACTGCAATAGTCCCTTGGTCTGTAAGATCCTGTATCTAACTTTAGATGTCCACAAGCTGGCTAAGGAAACATTTCAGAAATGCTGAACTGTACACTTACTCAGAAGCGATGCAGCTAAAAATACACCACTGTTAATTAGCTGTGGGGCTTCAGCGTGTCTCCAACACAGAGATGACAATGACGAGGCAGCAGCAGAGTGCACATGGCACAGAGTGTATGTGCTCTGCTCTAGCAGGTCACAGCTCAAAGAGACATCATAAACTACCACTCAGCTAATTATGAAACTGTCAGTGCTGGAGAGGAAAAGAGCACTTACAACAGGTTTAGGATCACACACATTAGCTTCGTACTTTTACTCATTTCTCCCCACTTATCCACAGCATAGACAAATTTCAATAACTCATCTTTTCAGATCTCCTGGCCTTCCATCAGTGATACTCACCTGGTACTACCTAGTTACAGCAGCTGTTAATATGTTACTGATATTTTTGCATTAAGCTGGGTGCACTGCTGCATCGCTATTGCCAGAATGTTTATTACCATTCTCTTGTGCTAAAGTATGAGATCCAAAATAGAGCAAAAAAAGGAAAAAAAAAATCGTTCTCATATACAAGAACGTGAGAACAACTAACCTCTTCCTCTCTTTTCCCTGTCTGTATTTCTTATTTTAATTACCTCTTAACCATTCCGTCGATCAAGTCCAGAAATAATCTTCCAGTGACAATTTTCAGCTCCTACATTAGAAGCAGTGAGTAGACCGTGAAAATGGAAATATAGTACATGTCACTATCGATATCTCTCTTGAGTCACTCAAATATTTCAGCTGATCATTGTTGACCATCGACACTCAGACTGTTGGGAAAGTCTTATTCTTATGAAGATGCGGAAAAACAGACCTGGAGAGCTGCAATTAAACATGCCAAAAGTTTGTGACAGAGCTGAGAACAGAATACAGCCCATTGCTGCACACCTTAACTACCACAGTATCTTTATTTCATTCACTGGGAAAAAATAAATCAAAACTACAGAAGATTATTGTAATCTTAGAAATTCTGAATGTATTTTTTTTTCTATTTTTACATTTCTATAATTTACATTTGGTTATTTTATCATCCTTCCAATCCTATCACTTAACAAATAACACTTTGAACATAACTATTCCAAGTTAATACAATTTGTCTTAGCAGAGCAAATGACATCACAGGACAGGGATTTTATAACTTTCAAGGCATTTATTCTTGTTAGAATATATAATAGTCAAATCAATATTTCTTTAAGGTAAAGCCCAAGCTGAAATCTGACACTGTGGCAACATTCCAGTTCTCTGAAAGCACACTACAAAAAATTAAAATCTCAATTATGGATTTCTTAGGTCAGGGAAAAGGGAACTAAATCAGCTGACAAACTTGGTTTAGTACCTTACATTTAGTACCTAAATAACCTCCCAATTGTACTCACCATTATTTTTGATCATTCCACATCCTCTTCAATGAGCTTAGAAAGAAAGAGATGAATAAACAAAATTAAATTTGCATCTAGGAAGCAGCTCAGATCATACATGATTATCTGCACAAGGCACAAAAGATTAGCTGTACCTTCTATGAACCAGGTAACATTTTTAGGCTTCCTACATAAAACATGCTGATGTTATTTTTCAAATTATCAGATATACCCCCTCTTTTAGTTTAAATCAAGAGAACTGGACCCAAGTGTGGAAAAGCCAGGACACACAAACTTTAAATAATTGGAGGCACACATTTAAGTTTCATGGGACCTGAGATGGACACATATTCAGTCTCCACTAAGGCAAGAAACTCTTTCACGTTAATAACAAACTGCTGTAGTGAGGATGCTCAGCTGACAACCTAACTGGAAGAATATCAGACTGCCATAAGCAGAACTATCTCATCACACAGAACCTAAATAATTCAAAATTCCTCAGCAAAGTATTATTACCTTCCATACTCCTGTACAACACAGCATTTCTAAAAGCACCATGCACCTGGACCTTCAGGAAATCCCCAGCCATCAGACAATCCCTATTTCAGGGTAGTTACTTCCTTCCCATGTTGTCAGTTCTGACCCTTCCTACTCAAATTTTCCCTCAAGAACCCGCCAACCATTATGTGATTTTGAGACATTAAGGAACTAACAGCAAATGCTTCACAAAAGAATTAACTTAAAAAGGAACAGTTACCAGGATTGGTAATTAATTGGTAATAATCCCAAACTGCCTTGTCATAATAGAAACCAATTCAATATTTGAAAAGCTAGGTCTTCTTTCACTAAGACTACGAATTAACTAAACTAAACACTAAAATGTGTTTAAAACATTAAACACTAAAGTAAGTCTTATTAAAAAAGAATGCAGCTGGTGACATTTAAAGCAACTCAAGCAAAGGAATGGTTCATCCAACACTGAAATTCAGTTAGCTTTAACCTACTTTTTTATTTTTAACAAGTTCACTGACTTTGAATGCCCCAGTTTTTAACTACTCTGCTTGATACACCCTCTAGCTGACTTTCATCAATTACATGAGCAGAGTTCACAGTAGTCCAAGAGAACTTGCAAATAAAACTGGATATATACCAACGTTATTGAAAATGAGCAGGCACTGAGACAGATGGTGACACTATGAACTCTTCAGATAAAAGCTAGTGGACATTACAAAGAAAAAAATGCCATTTTTCTTGTTTCATACTGCACTGAACGTACAATCAATTGATGTGGAGCAAGAAATAACTGTGACAGCTCAACACTGCCTACGTGACTCCTTCTTTGTTAAAAATTCAGAATGTATTATTTTCATTAAGTCTTGACCTATTGCCCATTAATTTTTTTCGCTCTACCATAACTAGAGATTGGATTCCATGAACTTTAAATCTCACATTCAGATAGGTGCCCGTATCGAAGAAGTTCAGTAACTTCAAGAATTCCAAAGCCAAAAAGAGGTGAAGGAGTATCTCACAAATAAATTTACCAGCAAAACTGCAATATTTGTCTTCTCATATAAATTAACATATTCTGTTACCAATCCACCAGTATGGCAAAATAAAACCCACAAAAGTCAGTGTTCTGACATAATCAGAATGGAATTGGAGCGGAATGGAATAATCTCCACTGGAATTGGAGACTATATTAATATAAGAGAATACAGCTATGCAACCAACCTTCACTCCACCCTCCATGCTCTGTTTTAAGGTACAACAAAAACTGAGATCCATCATATCTGGCTTTCCAAAACACTATCTTTGACTCTTACACAGACACAAATCCTCCAGGAAATGAGCAGAACCAAAAGGACTCAGAAGACGAATCCTCATCTCTTGCCTGGAGCCTGAGAAGAATGAGGAAGTAAGGAAGGAAATATCTAGAAACAGGTTAATATAGAAAGACCAAAACACAAAAAATTTGAAGTACAGTGTAGACCGATGGAGATATGGAAAGCAAAATTAGTCCTACACAAATACACTATGGTTTTCCCTATGGCTTAAAAACTGTCAAATTTAACCTGGAAAGTGGACAACTACAAACACTTAAATTACAAACACAAATACAACAGAAAGTAGCTTACAGTCCTGTAAAAAATTAGCTGATTTAATGCTCTTTTTGCTTTCTAGGCAACTTTGAACTAGGCATCTAAAACCAAACTATGAGGCAAAAGTGAGAACTTGTAAAAGAAAGTCTAAGATTGGTGTGACTGGAGAAAGGAGTGCCGGGGTGTGCAGGCACCAAATGTAACACTGAGCAGGAACTGGGCTCTAAGGGGCTTACCTTAGCAGCACCCAGGTGAGCAGCTCGCATTCCCTGCCACTTCAGAAGACACCCAGATCTGGAAACAACACTGATAACCCACAGAGTCGGGACAATGCAGAGACACAGGGCAATGTCCCCTCCAAAAGGGTACACAAAGGCACATCTGAAGCCTAGAATGGTTGCCAGCCTAGGAAGAGGCCAGGAGACAGTAAGGACCTGATGTCCCCTGCCAACACAGACTGCCAGTCTGTTGGATCCATAGCATGCTGCTATGGTGCTTGGCTGCTGTAGAGACACATACACACTCCACCTTAATTTTTCGTTTCACTGTGTATTTTTAAATAAAACCCCTTTCCTCTTTTAACAGGTTTCCAATGCACCTCCACTTCATTGTTGGTACAATATGTTAACAGTACTTCGTACCACAGCAGAGAAAACAGGGAAAACTGCTTAAAGATGAGCTTTCAATTCTGTGATACACACTCTGTAGGAATATGCTATAGAATACTGTTCAGGCAAAGAAACAACCCTTCTTCCACACTCTATTTTACAAAAATCCTCTTTTTTTAAATCCCCTGAAGACTGTGAAGGTTTTGCATCTCGCACTCACATAAACTCTGGCATGTCAGGACTGGTTTCAAACACTGCTCCTTTTTTAGTTTTTAAGAATGAACACGGGGAAGTGTTCAAGTGATATTCCAGACTCTTCTTTATATATAGTATGCCAAAGACAAATCTCCTAGCATATTTTAAAAGTTCATGCACAGACATATAGAAGTAGGAATATTCATCAGTAGCAGCATACTGTGTCTTAATGTTACGTTGGTCCTAACGCTATTACTGTTACTACAAGAGTAATGTTGCACACGAAAATCAGCAAAATGTTCCCTAAGAAATTTTTCTCCTAAGCAGCTACTGCTTTCAGGACTAATTATAAGACATGCTTATATTTGAGTTATTTCACCAGTTACAAAGAACTACCTCATTATTAGGTCATGTGTGCAAACACACCATGTCTCCACAAAATCTAAAGCTATGCTTCTCATTTAACCACTTGAACTTATTTCTTTTACCTGACTTGCAGATTGAAAATGCAGTCACAATTCTAGGACGAACTCGAGATTTTAAGAACTGCTATCAAATATAGAACACAAGGAATCTCATGCCAGTGACACTAATTATTTTCCTTTCAGTAAGAACTGTTGATCCTCCCTTTTTTTTTTCCCTTCAAATTTAAACTAAGTATCATTCTCTAGCACAAAATACCACGGACAATTTTGAAGAATTCAGGGCATACCTGGCCTGCATGCTACTAACTTGGAAAGAAGACAGTTTAACAATAAACTTCACGTGTTTCATGGTGTCTTAAATTCTTTTTACCTTATTATCAACATGAATTTATAAAGCTAAATCAAATTCCATAATCTCTCCACTTTCCATAGAACTTATTTTGCAGGGCAGATTTTTGTACCTTCTGGTTTTGTCAAACAACTAGGAAGCCATCCCTTTTGCGCACTCCTGTGTCAGCACTACAGACATCATAAAAGGATACAACCATTCAGATTAGCAGAATTCATCCAGCCCACACATCGCATGAATAAGAACGGTAACAGCAGCGTAGCAGTATTCGGCGCTATGCTCGTAGCCAGACATGCGAAGCCTCATTTCAGATGACACATTTGGCTTTCCCTCCCGCAGGTCGCTGCCGGCCGCAGCTGTGCGCAGTGGGCTGCGGGGTATCGCCGTGCAGGGAGCAGGCTCTCCCGCTCGGCCATCTGCTGCAGCCCGGAGCTGCAGGACGCCCGCGTCCCCAGCGCCGAAGTTGCTCAGACTTTTCAGGGCGGCGAGCGGGTAGCACCGGCCCGGTTCCGGCTGCCGTCCGTCCCCACACGGACACCGGCCCGCTCCTCGCTCGGGGCCGGCGCGGCGAGGGCGGCCAGCCGCTCCCACTGCTCCGGCCCGGCGCCGCGGGAACGAGCCCGAGCCCGAGCCCGAGCCCGGGCCCAGCCCAATCACGGGGCAGGACGGGGAGGCGGGTGCGCGGGCGCTCGGTCCCAGCCCGATCAGGGATCCGGCACCAGGCTCCGGCCTGGACGCGGCCGCTGCTCCCTCCGCACTCACCTGAGCGCGGCCGAAGCCGCGGGGCCGCGGCCGGCCCGGCCACTCCGCCTCCTCCGCCCCTCACTCCGCCATCTTCCCCTCCTTCCCCCGGCCTCCCGGCGGGGGCTCGCTGCGCCCGGGCCCGCCCACTCGACCGCGAGCCTATTGGGTGCCGTGCCCGTGCATCAGCCCTCCGGTATTGGCGGCGATTGGCCAGCGGCGCCGTCCATCAGGGGACTGGCCTCCCGCCTCCAAGGCGGCCCGCTCGGATTGGCCCCGGGCAGGGCACAGCGAAGGGATTGGCTCGGGCGGCGCGAGCGGGACTGGCCCGGGGCGAGTCCTGCGGTGACCTCCACGGGGATTTAAAGGGGCCGCTCCGCAAGGGCGGCCGGGCTGAGCACCCGCCCGCACAGCCGGCCGGGGAGGGTCCCGGTCCGGCGGCCCTACAGCACCTGCTGAGCTCACCGAGCATCGTGGTTGCTCCCAAAGGCGGCCTTCAGTCCTTCTGCCTTCAGTCATTCGGCCGGGTTTCTGTCATCTGCCTTTTTTTTTTTTTTAATAATTTTTTTTTAGCAGCGGTAATTTTGCACTTCTAGCTGATGGGTGGATGCATTGAAGAGTGTGAAGAGGAGTACGTACCCATTCAGAAAACTGTCGAGAAACACCCCCGTCTCACCATGATTCATCCCAGATTGCTACAAACTATTTCACTCCAAATCTTTACACGTGTGTTCAAACATTTAATACAACGCTTTTCTGCCGCGTCACGTTTTAGAGCAGCCTGCAATGAACCGCTTTTGCTAACTCCAGTATTATACCCACATTCTATTTACAACCAAAGCTCCAGATTCAAAGAAGCAAAAGCAGGTTTTTATGTTCCATTGTACAGTTACAGAACATAATTTTTACCCCTGCTCTTCATGAGTCAAATCCTGTATTTGGATTCTTTTCTTTTCCTATTTGTTGCCAAGCTAAGGGGCCTACAGGTTTCAGTACTGATTTAGATATCAAACCTATTTCTGCTTTCTTCACAATACTCTGGTAACCTCTTGCACCCACACATTTCGGCAGTCAAGCCTCCAGCCAGTCTCAACATCAACTCATGGCTGCAGATTTGAAGAGACTATCCCTCAGAAGACTGGAGAATGGCTCATCTCTATTTAAAATCCTGTCCCTTGTACTACTTTTTCAACAGACAAAGATGAAATATTAAGCAGCTCCATCTCTGAGCTGCCATCATGTTCACCTTCAAGATGACCTTTCTCAAGACAAAATACTTTTATAAGCAACCAGGTATGGTAAAAATACTACTTTAGTGGAAATCTGCTTGTATCTGTACAGCTTAGTTAAATTTAACAAATTTAAGATCTCAGTCTCTAAAACACCACTTTCTGTCCACCACCTTTTAAACTGCATGTTATATATACAGTTTTCAGAATATTGAGTAAGATATTTATTTGCATGCGATTTATTCTGCTAATGGCAAAGTTAGATTCTGATAGTTGAGAATCTTTTTTTTTATTGTAGGAAGGTTGGTTGTTCTTTGATCGATTGTGTTATGAGGTTTTTTTTTTTTGCAGTACATCTGTTAGACCATTTGTGTTCACCTTCAAGCGCATTAGCAAAAATATCTGAGGTGGGAGCTTGTAGGAACAAATGTCACAAACGAGCCTTTGTGTCCTCTTCTGCAGCTCATGTTTTGCCAGCAGAATAAAGGATTATCAATCTCTGAAAATAAATAACACTCTATCAGTTATAGGAAACTGATCTGTAAAACCTGCTAGCACCATTCTTTTACTGGTATTTAGCTTTATCCAGTAATTAAAGGATAGTTGGTTGCCCTACAGGAAGAGCTGGGGGATGGTTTGGTTTTGGTTTTTGTTTATACAGTGAAGGTTTATTTATGGATTGATAAATACAACATCCAGTCTCACCGGGACAGTAAGGCACAACTGTAGGTTACAACTATAGCATCAGAAGACAGCAACACCTACCTCTAGGCAAATCACAAAGCCTACAAGCAATTTTTACTTTTCATTAGCACTGTTACATTCCCATTTTACAGGAGGCAGTTATAAAAGTATAATGTTTCTTTCTCATACAGAGTAGAGCTTTTTCATTTACATTTCCTTCCAGAACTGTGCTGCACTCTGCAAAACTATGAAGTGCAACATTTTACTTTTGAATTCCTTTATTTATAACAAATCAAAAATCCTTCAGAGACTTGCGTGTTATCTTTCAACGAAAGTGATGACTGAAGAAACTGAGAAAAAAGGAAATGCACATTTAACAGTAGTTTTGAGACCGGGAAGTATTTATAGAAATGTTAACACACGACAGAGAAGCAGTTATAACACCGATTCTTCAATAAACAAGCTCCCAGGATTTTTTGGTTTTATTGGAAGTATCTCCCAGATTGTGGAATGCTCCAGCTGAACTACACAAGATCATATGTCAATCTAGCCACAGAAAATAGTTACTATTGAACCTTTGAGGATACCGATCTCTTGAATTTATCAGCATTACATTAATCGTATTAATCATCTTACACTTGGCAAAGAGATTTTTATAGAAATACATTCTGAAAAATCTGGGATAATATGATCTTTCCCAAATTGTATTCTTATGCCAGAGCTTTCTTAAATACAGCTACCACCCTCAACACAAATATAACAGACCAGGACTTTCATACTGGAAAATATAAATAATTACTCATTATGCAGGCCACTAGAATTGGGAAAAAGCCCTATGAAATCAGTTTCACGATTTCGTGTTTCATGACACTGTTACCAGGGAGCAAAACAGAACTACAAATCCAGATTTTAGCATGACTGGTTTTCTTGCATTTTGTACACTGGTAAACAAATTTACACTTTCAGAAGCAAAACCACCCTGAGGAAGGGAGGGATCTTAGATGAAAACAATCTGGAGAAGACACTTCATAGTCCACCGGCTGTCAAGCCTGCAAGCTATGCAAAGGAAAGAAACAAGTTTCTGCCTCTGCTGCTAGAACAGTTCAAGTGACATAGTGCAGATTTCCTATTCCTTTTGAGAATACCACAGCCTGTCCCCACCACAGATTCTACTATTGTCCCTGTGAATTCATACCACAGCCTGTCCCCACCATAGATTCTACTATTGTCCCTGTGAATTCATCCCACAAAGAACAAAATCTATTCACAGTACTTTAAAGTACTCTTAGCTATCATCATGCATTTGTGCTAGTTGTACAAGAAGCCATAGAAGTTGAGAAGTTCTCAAGTAAAAGGCAGACTTAGAAGCACTGAAGAAACAAGTCTGCATGTAAAGAGCCAAATGGGAAAGGGGCAACAATATTTTTTTTTAAAAAGGCAGCTGTAATGTGGCAAAAGTGAATAATTACCAATGCACCTAGTATTTGAGTAGATGCTTGTCTCTGAAACATTTCAGAGGGCACTTCTGTGGCATATTCCTGTTTTTCCATTCTCAGATTCAGAGCTCAGAAGAATCAGTTTGTAGATTAAACAGTAGTGTTTAAGGAGAGATATTTTTACCGAAACAGCATGACTGGTTTTCTTGCATTTTGTACACTGGTAAACAAATTTACACTTTCAGAAGCAAAACCACCCTGAGGAAGGGAGGGATCTTAGACGAAAACAATCTGGAGAAGACACTTCATAGTCCACCGGCTGTCAAGCCTGCAAGCTATGCAAAGGAAAGAAACAAGTTTCTGCCTCTGCTGCTAGAACAGTTCAAGTGACATAGTGCAGATTTCCTATTCCTTTTGAGAATACCACAGCCTGTCCCCACCACAGATTCTACTATTGTCCCTGTGAATTCATACCACAGCCTGTCCCCACCATAGATTCTACTATTGTCCCTGTGAATTCATCCCACAAAGAACAAAATCTATTCACAGTACTTTAAAGTACTCTTAGCTATCATCATGCATTTGTGCTAGTTGTACAAGAAGCCATAGAAGTTGAGAAGTTCTCAAGTAAAAGGCAGACTTAGAAGCACTGAAGAAACAAGTCTGCATGTAAAGAGCCAAATGGGAAAGGGGCAACAATATTTTTTTTTAAAAAGGCAGCTGTAATGTGGCAAAAGTGAATAATTACCAATGCACCTAGTATTTGAGTAGATGCTTGTCTCTGAAACATTTCAGAGGGCACTTCTGTGGCATATTCCTGTTTTTCCATTCTCAGATTCAGAGCTCAGAAGAATCAGTTTGTAGATTAAACAGTAGTGTTTAAGGAGAGATATTTTTACCGAAACAGTAGTGCAGAAGGAGACAAGAGAAAGGGCAAAAACCCCAGGATGGACAGCATTAAAAAAGCTCCTTTTCCAAGTTGCATGGCAGCCATTTCCCTTTGTTCCTGTTGCACAGGGAATGTTCACATTGGTAGAACAAATCAAGGAGGGGTTGGAGATGTATTGTATATGCACCAGTAGCAATGCTCTGGGGTATGGTGCTAAGGAGAAAATGAAGTTCTATTCATTACATAGTTGGAGTAGAAAGGAATAGGCTCTCCATCCATCAGTGAAGGAATCGAATGCTCATTTTCTGCTCTACATCCACCTTCTCCAAAACCTGCAATAAAATTGAGAAACAGCTACTTAAGTTACTGTACATCTCTCCTACAAGGTTTCTTATTCTAGTAGTGAGGAAATGGGCAGGAAAATGGGATGTCTTCAATTCAGCATGCCAGGCCTTTATCTAGATGGAGACTGCTGTTTCTCATTGTGGGCTAAGGTCTGTCCAAGGGAAGGAACTTAGCCATCAAAGCCACAAGAAGGCTGTTGATCAAAATGTAACTAATGTGGTTTCAGTCTGCCCAACAGCACAGAAAGGCCAAAATGATTTCCAAAACTAGATTATGTGGTAATGTCCAGTCAGGAAACTCAAGGGAGAATGGAGTAGAGAAAGGGATGTGAGCAATCATTGAAGAGCAAAAGACCAGAGCACCACTAATGCAGATGATTGTAAAACTGGGGTGGCAAGTTCATTCACTAAATTGCTATTAACACTGAGGCATGAAGATATTACTCTGCTCCAGGCTTTTCAGGTAGTAGACTTCAGTGCTCCAAGATGAGAGTAATTTATGTTTGAAGCGACCTCTGGAAGTCTTTCAGTCCAATCCCTCAATTCCTACTTAAAAGCAGTACCTGCTAAATCAGATTGCTCAGGGTTTTGTCCTGGTTAAGCTTTAAGTATCTCCAAGGAAGGAATTTCTACATCTTTCAGAAGCTATGACCATCCTCTTAGCAAAAAGTTTTCCTTAGAGCAAACCACGATTTCCCATGTTGCAACTTGTTTCTGTTGCCTTTTTGTCATCTCCAAGATAAGTCTAGTTTCTCTTGTCAATAGTATCCCATTAGGTAGCTGAAATTGTTCTGCTACAGGATAACTTTCTCCACTGACTATCTAAAATGGCTTCCGATTTCAGACTATCAAAACACGTAATTCAAAGTACCAGAGCTAGGAACTTGAATACCAGCATTAGTTGTGTTGCTAACAAATGAAATCTACATGTGAAAGCTGATCAGTGCTATTACAACAGAAGAATTAATCTGTTGTAACTGTGCTAGTAGGTTACTTGTGTAGAAAGAAGCATTTGCAAAACAAAAAGTGAAAGTTCTTCAGTATATTCAGGGCTGTAAGCTTTATTTAAGAGTATAAAGAAACATGTGGACTAATTATTAACACCCTGACAGTATTAAAAAAACCCAAAACATGACTAATAACGGGATGGAAAAGCTAGCAGAAGGCTTTGCCCAAATGCAGGCATAACTATTTCAATGACTTCCTCATTTGCATTTGTCTGAATGACTTGCTCATTACTGAGCAGCTTCATTAAGTCATTAAAACCATAGTTTACAAACCTTCACAAATTCTGCAAAGGAGATGGCACTATCTCCATCTTGATCAGCTTCCTGGATTGTCCTGTCAGCAATGCTGCCCAACTGTTCATCAGAAATATTTACACCAACCATCATCCGTAATACCTGTAGCATACAAAATAACAATCACTGACATAGCAACAGAAGTATTCTTAGTGCTTTCCTTTTATATGTACTGTCAAAATAACACCACACAAGATTTTCACTGAAGCAATTTCTAGCCAGACTTCTGTTGTCCTTTGTACATTAAGTCTTTCACGAAATACAGGTATATTTTGCAGCTACCATAGACAAAGAATCCTGCTTTTTCACTAGGCAGCAGGAAGAGGCAGAAGCAAGAGAAAGTTTTGGACCTAGGAATGAGTAATTTTGTCCAATGTTTCTACTTTTTCCCCCAGAAAACATACCAGCATTTGATTGAATATCTGCTGTTTGAGATATTTGTCTACAGGAATGTTGAAAGTACATGGTCCAGTGACAAGTGCCATTACCCTCCACATTCAGTAAAGCATTTTCTAAGTGGATAGAAGAGGGCAGGTCCAGGCAAAAACAAACCTTTTTCTTACATCAGGAACCACAAATTGCCATGTGTACTTCCCAGGATTAGTAGCATGTAATTACTCCTAGCACAAGCCTAGTTTCATACATATGCAGAACTGATGAACTTTGATTACCTTTGCTGACATTTCAAGAAGTTTTATTCTGTACAGAGGATGCACAGAGGATCAGGCAAACAACCTAATCCACCTCAGTGACTGTCCTTTTGAAATCCTTTTAGAAGCACCTTTGCAAGCTACAGAAGGTGGTTTTTAAGGAGCTTAGTGTATTTGTTGAATGTTTAGGTGTCACTAGCAACAGGCTCTGCCTAGCCTACCAAGTAAGAATTAAGTCCCATACTATTTCTAAAGCTTTAAGGCAGAGGTAAGCAAAGCCACCATGTTACGCCAGCAGTTCTTTTGAGAAAATGTTGCAACTCCCTTCTTCTAAGTGGGTGTGAAGTCACAGAGAACGTCATGATTGAGTCACTCAAAGCAGCCCTGTGCTATTTACCTGGAGAAGCTCATCCCTGGAAATTTTGTCATCTTTATCTAGATCATATAATCGAAAAGCAACTACAGGGAACAAAGAAAGAAGGAGCAGTTAAATTCAAATGCCATTATTTTTCTTCATAACAATAGATTTATCTAAACAATAACAATAGATGTATCTAAAAGAAAAACAACAAAACTAAGTACTTGTAAATTATTTTAAGAGAATTAGCTTAGAATTTTAATTCACCATAAACCTCATGCTCAGTTCCATGAAGTATTGTTATCACACACAGGAATAGCATTATTGCCAATAATGGAAAAATTTTATGTTCACAAGCACTCTGCTTGCAGGGTATTTCCTAAAAACTTCAAGTCACATAAGAATAATTATCACTAAGATACATTGAGACCTTTAATTTCAGAGCCAACCATTTTTATATTATCATTCATTCTCTTTGACTATATTATGCATGAGATATGACAGAAATTTTAAGAGCTCTGAGGACTGTTGCCAACTTTGATTAGCAAGAAAGAGCATTCTGCTCATATACTGTAGGCAGACATCCAAATACTTAAGTACTCAGCTGAAGGTGGGGAAAAAAAGTAGAATTATATGGAAGAACTGAAGAAATAAACATAAAAGCTCATTCAGGTATGGGATGTGGCTTCTAAATCTGAAATAATTTTGAATACAAATCATTTTGAAACACTTCTGTTATGAGACATTTTGCAAAATATATATATTACTCAAGAGTTACCTAATTCCATCAAATTCTAAAATAAAAATGGCTCAATTGTTGACATTCTGAACAGATACGGTTCCAAGTAAGCTTTTTAAAACATCAGGCATTAGAAGAGATCATTCCACAGGAAATAACTGTGCAGGAAATCCCAAGCCCCTTTCCTCCATTCCTAAGGGGACAAAAAACCCCAACCAAAAAGAAGATGGAAAAATAATTTATTCTATAGGAAGGTTCATATTTCTTACAGTGGAGCTTGTTACTTCTGCTGTTCAGTGGTTCTGGTCCATTCTGGTCTTTGCTCTTTTCATTATCTTCTATGGGTCGGAAGTGGGCTAGTGTCCTCATGAATCCACGGAAATTCACCTGGTCCTCTCTGTGTAAGAACTCAGCAGGTCAGTTTTTGGCATACCTTATACAAGCTCTTCATTTCAGTAAAGAAGACTATTAATATCCAAAGCACCAAGACCATGTGAACTCTTTCATTCCCACCTCTGCAAGGTTTGGCTGCCTGTGCTGTTACATGCTGGAATCATGCTGTTACAAAGTATGATGTGTGAAAAAACAGAAGCTGTAAGAAATCTTATCGAGGGCTCCCCTTCCCTGACCTGCAAAGTCTGTTTAAGCTGAAGCCCTCACCCTTAACCCATGCCTGAGCTATGCTGCCGCTACACGTGAATGTAGCAATGTATCTCGCTGATCTGGATTGACTTGATATAGTTTCAGCACTGCCAAGCACCAGACTGTTGGTTGACCTGACTGCAGTCATTGGGCCTGCTCTGCTTTTGGTGTTCAGCTGTGTGCCCTTCTTCAGCCAGTACATCTCCCCTTCCAGCTTTGCTGGCATCCTTGGCCCCTGCCTGTGGGGCTGTCATTGCTCACTGCTCTCTGACAGAGTTTTCTAGTTTCTCTGGGAACCAGCCATGTAAGTGCTTCCCAGGATGCCTTTCTGTTCAGTAAACCCTGCCTGGTTTTAGCTGATAATATGACTTGATTCCAAGCTTCATTAATCAGTAATAGCAACTGTGTTCAAGAGATTCCACAATCCCAAGAGGTATAATGAAGAGAGACAATACTGAAAATTTGACAATCTCTTTGGATTTGTGTTAGAAGTGTCATAATCTGTCTTAAATGTAACAAAAACCTAAAATCAACCAACCAAAAAAGCCAACCTAATAACAATGGTACATTTACTATATCAGATACAATAAGACCAAATTAGTTAATTGTAACACTACTGAACACAGAATAGTCTTGATACAAGTTTGCTTTAAGAACCAAAGTCCACACACAGCCCGGAATTTCTTCGTAAGTGTTCAGTAGTTTAGGAAGAAGAGTGAAAAACTGTGACAGAAGACTGAGTTTGTCAATAAATAAACACAAAATAGTTTTGTAAAGTCATAAAGTATTTCTCACAAGTTTGAAGTGTTCAGTTATTAGTCAATTCAAATTCTGTGCTTTAATTATCAGCATTTCACTCCTATGAAATCTTCTGACAAACTACAAATTTTGCGCCTGCTCATAAATTTAGTTTGTTGAAACTCACCCTTCTGGAAAAAAGGCATTGATAATTCTGTCTCCAAGTGGATTGATGGCAAGCTCTGGAATCCGCTGGAAGTCTTCACGGCTAAGGAAAGCAAGAACACAACCAGTCAGCATAAAGTTGAAGTCAGAGAAGAAGTTGCTTAAAAAGAATTCACAGTAAAACATCACTGGAATCCTAGTTCTGCAGCAAGACATTTGGTAATTTTGAAAATGCAACTTTTTAAATCATGTTTTCTTTATGACTAATGGCACAAAATAAAACAAAAGACAATGCCAAACCTATATTGCATTACAAACTAGCAGTGCTCATTTATCATGTTAACAACCCTTCTCAGACACTAACATCATTTGTGCTAGAAACCTTACTGTAATGATGCCAACTAGTTTGCAATGTAAGAAAAGGAAAGCTTCTGAAGTTGCTTTGAAAGAAATTATGGCTCCAAGATGAAAATATTCATTGGGGTTTTAAAATAATTATTCTGGTACTTAATCATATGAGTTGTCATGACTTTTCCAGATTGTCTCATTTCAGATTCTGGAAGAACACCATACTAACTCCAAGCACACTATAGGTCATTAGCATGTTCCGATAGATTTTTTTGTTTGTTTATGCAACAAATCTGTATCTTATTATAAACACCAAATTTCAGATTATTTTAGCTTCAACCAAGCAGTATTCCTATTTTAAATTGGCAATTTTACACTTTTACAGGCACCTGTACACCAGATATAATTTCACCAGTACAGGAAATACTCGCTGCTCTTGCCAGCCATTCTCTTTTCTGGTCATGATTATATGTACACAGCATAATATAAACACAGCTATGCTTACATTGTTATTCTTCTGATCTGAAAGACATCATGAGTTGTACTGCATACACATTTTAGAACAGTATGACATGAACACAGGCTTCATTCTCCTATTAGAATTGCACTAGTATTTTCTCTTTTCTTTCAACCTGACAGACTGTCAGTGACAGGAAAGTGGGTAATCTTGATGTGACCAAGGCAAACAGACCAAATGTGTCTTAGTGAGCAGGTTTGATTGGTTTGTTTTTCCTTACAACAGAACACAGCAACTCAGTTAGTTGAAGATGTACTTCATGATCACCTAGATTTTAAATTGCAAACAGCAAGGGAGTTAAGCTGTAAAAAATTCCCACACTATTCTGTCTGGATATGTGACATTACATTTCCTGCCCAATCTCCAGAAATACTGGCAGTTCCCTTCAAGTCAATCCTGCTGTTTTTGAAGTTAGGGTCAAAGTCTCAAACTTGATTACTGAATGTTTGCTCAAAACTATGCTCACTAACTAAACTGGCTACAAGGTCTGACTCATGACATAATTATACCATAAGCCTGGTTTACTAAAGTAAACACAAACAAATTTTGAGATTTAAATATAAAAGCCTTTTATAATGCTGTGATATTAAAGGGTAAAAAAGAAATTGGCTGACTTTATCACCAGTCTAGCTCAGGAAAGGCAGAGAAGCAAGATGTTCTAGATTTAAATGTATTCTAAAGCATTTTTTGCACCCAGTCACCACCACAGCACTGTTAAGAATCCTAATTACAGTGCATCTGTTACAACATGGTTAAACTGTCTGACCTTCTAACAGAGCAACCTGACCATATTTTTAAGTTATCCCAGCACACTTTGCTCTGACCAGGTCCCGTGTTATTTTTAATAGGCAAAGTTAGCATCTGTTTAGCATGATCAACTTGTCACCAGACCCTTCAGGACTGCTGCATTTTAAGCTGTTGCTGAAGGGCAAAGTATGCATTAGTGATTTAAGCAGGAGATGCAGTGATGTGGAAAGCCTATGTCCTAATAACAATATTTTAATAGCAGAACTTCAATGTCAATGCTAACTTTATAACCTAAAAGCAGCAGCTGCCCTCTCTTCCACATAGACCAAAATCCTAATGCTTCAGAATTTTTTACTTGCATATCATGACTTTTTAGTATTCAGCCTCAGTAGACACTTGGCATTTCAGCCTCCAGTGATTCTGTTTTCTAACAGGAGATTAACAATTAACCACAAATAATTCCCTGGTTTCAAATCTATTTCTCCTGTTATTATCAGGGCTGCAGTAGAGCACTTCTGCTTATTAAGAGCACATTCCTGAGTGAGTGTTATAACTGAAATAGCTGCAACAGCCATAAAAGCAAATGAATGTGAAGTAAGTTATTCTCCACTTTATAAAGCTAAGCTTTCCCACAGTCATTAGGGACCAACTTCACCTGGCTGAAGCTGGTGCTTACATGAAATTTAATACCCTCTACTTCTTACGTGCTCATGAGCAACAAGGCTCTTCTAAGGTATCTTTACATGAACCTGGCTCTTATGAAATCTTTGCTTAAATGCAACAGGCAAAGCAACCTTTAACTGCATGTGAACATTATGCTGACCAACCATTTAATACATATGCCAGCACAATTAGATGTATTCACAATTAGATGTAATTTGCAGTGAAGAATTTCTAGATTCTAAGCAAGGCAAGTGTTCCTAAGCATGAGTATTCCCTCCAAGGCACACAGCAGATCCCTACTGTAAAGGTGGTTCTGCCTTATCCCAAAGACTGCAAGAAGCCTACAAGACCCTTTTTTTTTCCCTCCATTTCTGGTTGGTCATTCTGCTGTTACTTCTAGATGTTAGCAAAACATCCCTCACCAGGGATGAGGAGGGGTATCTAAAGCTGAGGGAAAGTAAAATAATGGAAAGGAAAAAACTCCCACATATACGTGCATCAGAAGTGGTAGAGGAAAGGAAGGATACAAGTAACAAGAAATTACTTGAAGAAGGGAAATAATTAAAAGCAGTAAGGTATATCATGCAAGGTGGTCAAAAAGATTTAAGAGCTTACTACTGCAGAGGTTCCATTGCTCCGTTACCTTGCTAACATCAGCTTTGTCATTCATCTAATCTTTTGATGGTCTAATGTATCCCCCATAACAAAAACCCTACCTTCCCCCTAACCAATTAGCTTTCTGTTGAATTCACAACTTGAGGCAGTTCAAAAAATTCAAAAAATCTAACAGCATCACAGCTGACAATGAGGTGCTGGAAGCCTGGAGAAGTTATCAGGAAAGAATATCAATACCCCCCTTCAGGATTGGGTCATCCATCTCATCTAACTCTATCCTTACACATGCTCCACACAAATGTTAAGAGTTGCTTAACTATCACAGCACTAATTGGTTCATAAACATAAGCCAAGGAGTATGCAAAAAGGTGATAATTAGATGAGCAATAACGAAGGAAAGAAAAAAGGCAGCATGCATAAAGTGTGGCTGAAGATGCAAGAATAGACTATTCTTGTACCGTCTTTTCCAATCCAAACCCATATCCTTCCTGTCTTTTCTATTTTAGATAAAGCTAAAAATGTTCTGCATTTTCTTGAGCAAAAGTAAAGAATTCCACATTCAGAGAGCTAGCTTTTACATTTTGCAACCCTGCAGTATCTGTTTTAACTAATAAGAACAAGCCTGACATCTTTCCAGACCCAGATGGTTCCGTCAGCTGACAAAGACTGACAGATGGCTTGGTTGGCTCATGTTACCCTTCTCTCAGGATCAGAGGCTTTCTGAAGTTCTCCAGAAGACACGTGTGAACAGCTTTCATAAACATGAGACATGCATGAACAGCTCAGTGTGTCTATTCTCTGTAGTTACCAGCTTTCAGAACATTTTCCCTTCCTTCCTTCTTCCATGCTTACCAGGCTATACCAATTACTGTACAGTAAAAACCATTTCTCAAGTGCTTAACCCGTCTTCTCCCCAGTGCCCAAGAAACTACTGTTAAGTGGGAGGTTTCATACAAAAGTTACATGCAAAGATTGCAGTGTACATAAGTACCTCCTTTTATAGCTCTATACATGTTTGTCTAGAGCTACTTACTAGTTGATAAACTTTGGAACAAAAGTATTCTTGTGTGGTGTACACTGCAGTACCAGCCCAAGTAAGCTGGGAGAATCACTAAAGCAATCACATACTTACCCTGTTCATGCTATACTATTTCCTCATATGGGAAATCAGCATGTAAGTAAGGAAACATGCACTCTTTTCCTCCTGAGCTACAGTTAGCATGTAGAAAGAACAAGTACATTCCAGATTTCACAATTTAGATGTAGCTATGGACAACCAAGGGTATCAATCTTTTGTTTTGGCAACTCAGCATGTCACAATATTGAAATCAAAGGTGACAAAAGAATTTTCAAGAACAGTTTTGTCTTGTCTTTTCCAACATGGTTTTGTTCAGATGGTGGAAGTCTGAGGGAGCTTACTCATTCTGTTTAGAAAAAGTGAAGCTAAGCAAAAATACAAAATTTTCTACACTTTTCAAGAAAGGTGAAGGTAAACCTGACATTTTTACCTTTACAGGTAAAAATGGCTGTAGTCGCTTAGAGAATAAATATGTGAGAGGGGGGAAAAGGAAGCAAAAACCAAAAATTTTTTGAAGACCAAGCTTTGTCTTTACCAATAACCATAATTTCATTTCTGTAACTCTTTAAAAACAAAGTGCCTTGAAATTGCACATAGGTACACTGGATAGAAACATCTGTCTATGAAAGATTTCTGCTTTTGATTATCGTTCCAGAACTACTCGGATTAATCATCATCTACCAGATTTTCTGTACAAAGTGCTCTTTACTTTACCCTTCTTCAGAAGGGTGGTACACATTTAAAGATTTATTTCGTGCCATAAAGAACTGACTGACATTTCTTTTCCTAATCATGGTCACATGAGTGATTTTGTCATGTTTGATTTGTAAGTCAAAGGTGTAAGTCATCCTTACGGAAACAATAAATCTTCCTCACAGGAAACAAACAGAAGACATACCCTCTAAACTGTTTGGTGGTAGTAAGCAAGTGATAACTTCTTCTTACTTGCCTTAAAGCATCAAGTTCTCTTTGATCTGTATCTCAGAAACCAACATCTATGACCTTCCAAGCTGTAGCTCTTGCTCTCTCCTCAATCTATTTTTCAGGAAGTAGTTTTCCATTACTTAAACTCAATAGTGTCTGCATTTTGAGGGTACCAGAACAAGTTTAAAAAATTGAATGTCACTCATAAGTCAGACATGTTTGAGAGAGGGCTATGCTTAGAGGCCAAGACTGCAAGTTAAGCAGTCATAATACACAGTTGCTGGGATTTCCCAAACAACCTCCACTTCCTTTCCACGTGATTATCAACAATGGAAGTCTACCTCCTCCTGATGCATAACACTGTGAAACTAAGCATTGTGCAACAGACATTCAAAGCATATTTAATCAATTACTCCTCTTACATAAACTGAGTACGATCACTTTGACATTTATACAAACCTTATGGATTCAGTAAGTGCATTTACTGTTGGAGGAGGACATGGAAGAGTTGAGGAAGAGCACGTCCTATGTTCAAACTGTGCTTGACTAATCCAGTAGCCATCACCTTTATTCATCAATGAATATTAAGTTCACATATAAAGTTTGAAAAGGCTGTTAATGTTCTTTTCCAAATAGTTTTAAACATAAGGAGCTTTAAGCTTATCCACAATCTCATCAGTTGATCTCTACATCAGAATTGCCAATGCTACAATTTATATAATGCATTGGTTTAAGTATCAGAGTGGGCTTTTGAACTTCCTGCATATCCCATCCCAAGCCAATTTTTTACATGCACAATCCATTTAATCATCCCTTCAGCTATGCAAGTCTAGAAATTTACAGTATAGCCACAGTCCAAATCACTGGAGTCAATCAGCCTCAAAACCTACAAAAGGCAAAAGGGGAGGGAGAGTATTTTTAACCCAAAATAATCACTCTGTAGTCCTGTTTACCATACAATTCCACATCCAATTACTTAAATGCTGAGAAGTCAGCAATTTGTGGCACCAGAAGGAACTGCGCATTTCCCTCAGGAAAGGAAACTGCAGTAAGCCCAAAGTACTGCCAAAGACCATGTATCTTACAACTTGCCACTTTGATCTGTTCAGAGCTGATTCCAGCATTACAGTTAGATTGGTTTATAGGTAGGCCTATAGCTTTTCTGGGTTTATAGTGCATCCTGCAGTTATATTTTACAAGATAACATACAAAACTTCAGGTAATGCCTGAATCACTGAATTTGACTAGGATAGAGCTGCTATGAAAGAAATTAACTCTGCAAGAGCCATATCTCATGTTACGCTACAACGATGTCCCCTTCCCCTTTCTACTCTCTCCTGCATTCTTCTCCAGCTTTCCTGTGCCACTGTGGCTATATGGTGAATGGGAAACAAAATCCACAAGAGCAGGGAAGGCTACAGAATGACAGCAGGCAGAGATATATTTTAACAGGCCATCATCTAGCCACAGTTTACTTTTTGGTTGAGAATACTCTTTTCTAGCAGACTTGGTCCATCAAAATGAAACGTATAGAAGACTCATCTTTATTTAATTGACTAAGCTGTCAGAAACCAGTTCTGTAGCTTTCGAGTTGTAGATAAGAAACAAACTAAAGATCTTAGGATGTCCTGCACCACCACTTTAAATAATAGAAGTTTGTTTAGTCTCAATGACTTGTTTCCAGCTCTTTTTTTATTTTTAAGCATACTAATAGATATGGGTGTTCAACAAGAGGTGCAAAGTGAAATATAGTAAATGGATTGCAGATCCAAGTAGTGTTTAAAGATACTGGATATCAGAAACAAGTATAGATCTTTTTTTTTAATGAAAGCCAGGAGAAAGATGAAACAGCAGAACCATTCTCGTATTAAACAGTAGAAGCAACATATAAAGAAAGATAAGAAATAACAATCTGAAAGTGTTGTTTCACAATTCTGAACAATTTTATAAGACTTTGAATACCAAATCTGAACTTTCTCCTATTAACTACTACAAACCTTCAACACTACAGTAAAGACAGTTGGTACTTAGAGCACCTCAGCTCAACAATTAAACCTATCATGTAGGCAGTAAGTATGAAAGAACTTGTTACAACAGCCTCAGTGATTTACCAATAAGAAAAACACGCATTCAACACTACAGTAAAGACAGTTGGTACTTAGAGCACCTCAGCTCAACAATTAAACCTATCATGTAGGCAGTAGGTATGAAAGCCTCAGTGATTTACCAATGAGAAAAACATGCAAATGTCCTGCAACAGCAAGCCACTAATACAGATGTGCCAATGCAAGTGCAGCTGAATTACCCACCTAAGAGTGCCATTTTCTCCTTTGTCCAGGCTGGTGAAGCGACTGTACAGGCGGGTGATTTGACTATGGGAGACTGAAGAAAAAAAGAAACAAGATGACAAATTAGCCTGTCAATGATTCCTCACAGGAGAAAACCTCATTACACTGAACTGCACTGTTGCCAGAAGCTGTATTCAAAAAAAGAGTTCACATAGAACCATTACATTAAAAGCACATGACAAGAAGCATTTAGGGATTTTGTGAGCTATAAATCACAGCTTAATATTCAAGAATCTACAAATTAGCTCATTCTTCAAAAAAACTGTCTAACTCTATCTTCTACCCATTTCTATTTTTTATCTTTAACAATTTTTGGTTACCTGGCTCAGTAAATGTCAATTAAAAATAAAAAATATTTGATTCACAGTTCCACTTTATTTCCTTTCATTCCTTTATGGCTAGAAATAATCTGGACACAGCCTACACTGATGACATCTGTATCACTCATGACACTAAAGACCCCTGCTATAGGATCTTTCCTTCACTTTTGCTTATCTCTATTCCCATTGTTTGTTTTCCACCTAAAGACAGAAAGTGAACTGAATTCCTCTGCATCTGGAAAGTGGTCAGAGAGGCTTTAATTTTTACTTCACTTTTCTTCCTTTACAGGACTGCTGAAATCTGAACACTTTGGGGCTCATAGAATAAGAGAATAATGTGACTTGGAAGGGACCCAGAAGAACCACTGGTGTCCAGCTCCTGGTCCTGTACAGCACTATCCTCAAGAATCTCACCATGTGCCTGAGAGCATTGTCCAAACATTTAATGAATTCTGTCAGGCTGGTGCTGTGACTCCTTCCCTGGGGAGCCTATTCCAGTGCCCATTCACTCTCTGGGTGAAGAACCATGTCCTAATATCCAACCTAAACATTCCCTGTCACAGCTTCATGCTTTCCCCTCAGGTTCTAACATTGCTCAGCAGAGAGGAGAGATGAAGAAGGCTTTGTTCCATAACTTGGAGCCAAAGATAGATTTATTATTAAATGTAATCGTATTTTTTAGATCCTTCATTAAACCAGCAATACTGTGGTGCCCAGCCCTCTGTTAAGATCTCTCTGCCTTCGAGGGAGTCAACAGCTCCTCGAGTCAACAGCTCCTCCCAATTTAGTGACACTGGCAAACTTACTTAGGATGCCTTCACAAAGATGTTAACGGGAGCCCGCCCTGAAATAGAGCCCTGCAGAACCCTATTAGTGACTGGTCACCGGGCTGATGTTATCCCATTCACTGAAACCTTTGTGCCCAACCCAGGAGCCAACTGCTCACAAAATTAATTTCCAGGCTTCTAGGACATGGAATTAAAAATTAGAAAGCTTATTTCTAAAGAAATTTGAGAAGGAGTTGGGCTACAAAGCAAGCAGAAAGTTATTGCAGACTTTAAGTCTTTAAACTTTATTGCAGTTTGAAATATAACTTAGAAAAGGCAGTATTAAGTTCAGCATAACTGTGTCAATATTACCAAGGTACTAGACAATACAAGATATCAGACAACTAGATCTAAGTCTGTGATGTGAGTGGGATAAACCTACATAGAATAGCAATTCCTTTTAACACTGAACGAACACTTGACCTGGTTTCAGCTGGGACGAAGTTCATTTTCTTCTTAGTAACTGGTACAGTGCTGTGGTTTTTGGATTTCATAGGAGAGTAACGATGACAACACACTGTTTTGGCTGTTGCTAGGTAGTGCTTACCCTAAGCCAAGGGCTTCTCAGCTTCCCAGGCTCTGCCAGTGAGGAGGTGCACAAAAAGCTGAGAGGGAGCACAGCCAGAACAGCTGATCGGGCCAAAGGGATCTTCTGTATCACAGAACATCATGGTGTATACTGAGGGAATTGGCCAGGAGGGGCCAATCACATTTTGGGGACAAGCTGGGCATTGGTCAACAGGGAGTGTGCAGTTGTACTGTGCTTCATTGGTCTTTCTTGGGTTTTATTTCTCTTTCATTGCAATTAGTATTATCACTGTTATTCTTAACATTTTTTAAATTATTATATTTTACTTTATTTCAACTATTAAACTTTTTATCTCAACCCATGGGTTTTACCTCCCCTCTCTCCCCACCCAGGGAGTAAGCAAGCATCTGTATGGTACTTAGTTATCAGCTGAGGTTAAACCACAAGGCCCTACAGGAGATCTTGGCTTTTCAGTCTTGTCTGACAAAGTTAATAAATACATGAAATAAGACTGAATTCAATGTTTATGTGTACTCAGTAAAGGTGTGATAGTCTACAATGTTAAACTAGGACTTACTGTGATTTTCAGATTAAGTAGTTTAAAAAGCCTTCACCAGGACATGCACAATGCTTCTCCTACTTGCTCAAACTTACTTGGCAAGAAGTTGCACAGTAGTTGTTTGATCAGCGACAAGTGAGGCAAATTTCTTTTTTCAGGTTTGTTCTTTCTTTCTCAAGGCTATCTGTTTAGGTTCAACAGTTCCCTACTTTAGCATGACCTGCCAGGAACTGGGTTTTCAAACACATGCCCCCCCTCCCCCCCAGACTTCTAGTCTCCTCAGCAACTTGCATTCTTTGCATAGGATTGGGCAATTTGCTCAGTTGCACCTCAGGCAACTCTCTACAATCAGACTGGGCAGCTTGCTCACTTTCAAGTTAAGAAACACACACATAGAAAACAAGTACCAGTACTCTAAAGACTTCAACCTTCAGCATTTCTGAGTTAATGTTTTAGATACCATAACAACAACTGATGGTGAAAAAAAGAAGGCTGGAGTTAGATCTCCTATTAGAAGCTCCATACTCCCACTCCTCCCTGTAAACAAAGAAGGTGATGAGAATTCTACTCAGCTACCATTCCCAAACTGATGTCAGCATCTACATTTTTGGAACATCGCTGTAACAGCTAGTATGTGAGCAATACTACGTAGCTGTTGACAGGAGAAGTGATATTTTCATTAACGTCACACTAGACAAAAAGCATATCATAGCTCTGTGAAAAATGAGGATGATTCAGGTTCACCACTGTCCTCTGTCGTAATTTCCTTTGGCTCTCATCCCTCACAAAAGCTGTGTCACTGGACATTTTTCAGTGCATTTGTAAACAAAGATAAAGATTCTCCTGAATACCCAGGAGAATTAAGATCTGCAATTTATTACTGCTTCTAAGGTTATGACTGAAAATGTAAGGTTAAGCCTTAAAATTAGCTGAAACACCATTTTATCTATACTGCTACTCCACTAAGATTCTCCTAAAAATTTAGGGTCAAGACCTCTAAATTAAGAGTTGCTCTCTCTATTTTACTTAAGTCACTGTAAAGTTTTTAGCAATTACATGTTCTTGTCTACAACAGCAGCATAAACTCATATAAATATATTTATGTATTTAGAAAAATATATAAATATCCATCAGAAAAAACTATTATCTGCTACCATGCAAACATTTTTTTCCTCCTAAATTAAGGTATGAGCATTAATTTATTATTAATCCTTAGGTAGAGTGCTTCAAAGCATGGAAGCAAAGGGTGTGAACCAAATAGTTTGAATACTGTTACATTCCAACAGCTTTCCAAAAGCTTGCAACAGAATGCAGACAAGCAACATCTCGGGTCTCTCATCTGTTTTTTTTAGTTGTTACTGAAATATCAAAGCAATTAGGATGACTTCAAGGTGTTTTCATGCTCAAATCTCAAAACGTTTATATGCAAAGCAAACAATTTTCAGACAACATCATGTGAGATTTAGGACTGTCAACTTCAGGCTTCACACCTGCAGCTGAGAACCTGATGCATTACCTCTGCACGTGTGTCTGAACTTACGCTACAAAGTGCTTTTCACTACCACAAAAAAAAAAATAATTTTAATCCAAGCAAATTTAATTCAAGAGATTGTGTCATTGCATAGCTTTTGAAAGACTATGCTTCTAGTGCCCTAAAAGACATGTTCTTCATCTGTTCTGCTGAAGAACATTAACATACAGTTTCTCACTCATGTCAGTATCATTAGCCATTCAGTTTTGTGTTACATGAAACTGAGCAGAAATTATCTCATTCCAAAGCTGAACTCAATCAAATTGGTGAAGTGTCCTACTCAGTGCTTCACACCAACCCCAGATGAAATGTAGGAAACACATTTCACAGTAAAGAGGCCAAAAAGGAATCCTTGGGAGCACTTATCAGACCATCAGTTCAAGATGGACTTGTAATGCTGCCAGATTTTTTCACGTCTACAAAGTCCCTTTCTCAAACTCTTCAGTAGCTGAAGTACCATCAGCATCAAGTTTCCAACAGACCACAGCAGTCTATTCAGTAACACCACCTTAGCATTCTGCCTGTGAACTTTGATCCAGACAACCAGTGTTTGTTTGGGGTTTTTTCCCCACCTTGTATAAATATTTTCACCTATATGAAGTGTAAAACAGTGCTAACAACTTGGTGGAATTTTCCATCTACCTAGAGAAGCATAAAAAGCAGAGAAAAATCACATTCCTAAACTGCAGTTACAGACTGGGGAGAAGAAGAAAATGATTGATAATGTCAATGAGACACACTGTGATGACTTACAAGCAAGCATGAATCAGAGATTAGCAATGGTTGGTTAACAAAGTGGTATTAATTATAAAATTTACTAGATAAAACCACGGGAAAATGAACAGACGTCAGGTCACCAAGCTGAAACCCACCAGTCATAACTTTGATCACCCTCTGATGATGCAAGAAAAGCATTTAGAGGCTAACTAGAGTCAAGTGGATTTATTGCTTACAATGCCTATACAGCCATCTTAATGGTATTTATTTAACTATCACGTAAGTAAGGAATAAAACACCGCAGACAATAAATCAAGTAGCAGCATGAGGAAAAATGTAAAACCTTCTGGAAAAATAGTCCAGATTTGGGGTTTGGATTTTGAAGCATCTTTATATATGAGAGGAGGCTACCTTTACTCCATGATCTTTGTGATTAAAAAGGCAATAGAAAGTTATTGCTGGATAAACAGACTTTGACGTTCCTACTTGTTTATCACAGCCTTCCTGCAGAAGGTTTTCATGACAGATGGAAAAAGGATCATGGAAACTATGTTAACTCACTCAGCCTGCCACTACAGTAACTCCAGCACTATCTTAATCTTCTTCTACTCCTTTTCTGTAGCCACTCATTTTCCTGACACAAATAAACTAACACTTTAGAAGAATATATGATACCATTTATATTGGAAAGAAAATTGAAGAAAGCATTTTCAGGAAGTATATTCAGAAGAAAAATTGTCAGCTGGGCAAGGCATATTAACCTGAGAAGTTTCCTGGGGAACAAACAGCAAAGTGATACCTATGATGTTATGACCTCTGCTCCCAGATAGTCAGGAAGGCATCCTGCATTTATTATCATTTAGTGGAACTAAATCATTTATTATCATTTGCTGGAACTCTCACGCAATCATTCTGTCAGGCAAATTAACAACACTGGAGTTTCACCTTCTCTAAGCTACTTCATGTTTATGCAGAACAACTCGATCAAATACTGTAGGGTAAAGTACCTAAATATTAGAGTCCAGTCTCCCAGTTGCTGACTAGTACAGGAATTTTCACTTGTTTTTAGTTAATAACACTTATCTCTTGTGAGTTACATTACTTCTTTTATGGTTTAAATGCCACTCAGCATTCATTCTGAATACCCTTATGGCAACTTTAGCACTAGCCCATGAAACAAATAACACTTGGAGAAAAAAATTACTATCCAACGACAGCTTCTTTGGGTTAAAAACTGAGAGAAACTCCAGCACCAGACATCGAGACAGACAACTCTTCAAAACCCAAGGAGTTATCTCTGACCGAATACAATACAGCACACACCAAGAGCACTGCTTCCCGTCTGTCCCACTGGGATCTCGCTGCTGCTACCAGCAGCGGTGGGGGGGAACCGAGAGGCGCTTCCCAGGTTTCCGCTGGCCTGCCAGACATGCCCGGCCCCGGGGGCTGCGGGTGCCTGGGACCGGGCACTGCCCGGACGCGAACGCCGCGGCCGCGCCGGCCGGGGCCTGCCCGGCCCCAGGGACTGCGAGCGGCCCCGCTCCGGCCGCCCACACCGCGGACTTCCCTTCCCTTCCCTTCCCGCCCCGCCGCACTCAGGCCCCCGCACTCACAGCCCGTCTCCTTCTTGATCTCCTCGATCTCCTCGTCCCGCAGCAGAGTGGACGCCCGGGAACCCATCGCCGCCGCTGGACCCGAGGGGAAGGGAAGGGAGGGGCCGGGGGAAGAGTTACGCAGCCGAAGAGCAGCGACGGCGGTGCCACAGCCGCCCCGGCACAGGCCCGACCGCGGCCGCCCCGCTGCTCCGAGGCGGAAGGCGAGCGCGCACCGACTGCCGCGGCCCCGCCCGCCGCCTCCGCCCGGCCCTCACCCGGCGGCCGCCCACGAACCCCCGCGCACGCGTGTGGAAAGCTCCTGGGCACAGCGGGAGAGCGGCCGCCTGAAGAAACTGCGTGGTTCTTGCTCTCCCAGGCTGATAGCGGCTCCCGGTCCTGCGGTCTTGCTTTGTTTTGCAAATCGCGGAATCGCAGAAGGGTGAGGTTGGAAGGGACTGCAATGGGTCAACTGGTCCAAGCTCCCTGCTCAAGCGGCACTTGGCATAGGATCCCGTCCAGATGATTCTTGAGTGTCTCCAGTGAGGGAGACTCCACAACCTCTCTGGGCAACCTGTTCCAGTGCATGGTCACCCACACAATAGAGTTTCCCCTCGTGTTCAGGTGGAACTTCTGTGTATCCATTTCTGCCCATTGCCCCTTGTTCTGTTGCTTAGTTCCACTGAGGAGGGCCTGGCTCCATCCTCTGACGCCTTCCCTTCAGATACTGATAGACATCTGAAGAAATCCACTCTCAATCATCTCTTCTCGAGGCCAAACAGGCTCAGCTCCCTCAGCCTATCCTCCAGTTGACCATTCATCCTTACTGCACTCCACTGGTTGCTCCAGGAGCTCCATGTCTCTATTGTACGGAGGAACCAAGAACTGAACACACCACTTCTGATGCAGTCTCACCAGGGCTGAGTTGAGGAGCAGAATCAACCCCCTCGATCTGCTGGCAGTGCTCTTCCTAGTGCACAGGACACCATTGGCCTTCCCGGCCCCAAGGGCACTGCTGGCTCGTGGCTTGTTGTCCACCAGGACCCCCAGGTCTTTCTCTGCAGAGCTGCTTTCCAGTAGGTCAGTGGTAATGATAAACTTTTACCCCAAAGAGTGGAACCTGCTGTATGTCTGTATTTTTTTCCCCTCCTTCATGTTAGTGAAGAATTTGGAAACTGGCAGAAGCACTCCAGGATTAAGGATAATTTTTGGTCATGGAATAATCAATGGTGAGGCTTTGCTTACTGCATTTTGGGGCAGGGGGGTCATGCCCACCAATAGTTCAGCATTTTAAATCCTTTTTGGGTCATATCTGAATTATTCAGTTTCTTTTTTTCTCCTAAAATCGGTAGGAATTAGAATGGTGTATAAATCAGACAGCTTTTGTTCCCCAATTATCTACAAGTGAAATAATAATAATAACAACTTGCTTTGGGAAAGTCTTAGGACTGTATTGCATTAAAGCTTACTGGTTAAATAACAATGGTTAATGTCCAACGAGACTGCTAATGAAAGTAACTCCTCCAAAGGTATTCAGTTGAGATAAGAGTGCCCTGTTTACAACCTGAAAGCAAGTTCATTGTATATGTTGTTGTACATGTGTGAGACTTTCCCTTAGGGACTGTGCTGGGAAGTTAAAATGCTTAAAGGTCATGTTAAATTGGTCTTACTTTTATTCACACAGGCAAAAGCATCTCTACTAAATGATCTGTTTATCTGATCTAAGCCTCCTTCACTAATGGCATAAATATGGGAGTATTTAAGAAAAACATTTCTAGTGTATAAAGGTCCTGTGCATTTCTATTGGCATCTGCTTTCTTCAGGGATAGGAGCAAAGTGCTGAGGGGCAACTAGCTAGAAGGCATCTACTGGACTTACCAAGTGATTAACTTATTTTATTCTGCCTTTTTTTTTTGTGCTTGCTTTACTTTATATGTAATAGTCTGTAAATTAATTAGTTGTAGTTCAATGCTGACTTTGTTTCTGATTGGATGCTTAAGTCATTAGACTTAACTAGTCTTTAACAAGTGCCCAAACATTGTTTTTCAGCACTAAAATATAAATTGTTTCTGTCATTGAATTAACCAGATTCAGGGAAGGGAACAGCAATGCTTTTTGAGTATATTGAAATGTTTCGTTCCTTTCACAGGAGGAGAAGGGATGGGAGGTACTTGCTGGGGGAACTACAACTCACATTGACTATAATTCTGATTTTCAAACTCAGTTGTGCCAAGTTTGTTTTCCTCAGCTCTGAAAAAGTGAACAAGGTGGTGGGTATAGGGCTTCTTCCAAGGTAAAAGGTTCCTCCGAAGTATTGTTTACAATTCTTCTCTCTCACATTTTTCCCTCTCTTTTTTATTTTTGTTTGTTTGTTTGTTTTGGTTGGTTCGTTGGTTTTGATTTTGTTTTTTATTTCTTGTTTCCCAGTACTGTTCCTAGGTAGAAGAATTTCCTTGGTTTGTTTCCTTGTCAGCTTGTGGTTTCAGGGAGAATTTCCTATGAGCATTTCACCTGTGGTGAAACAGTTCCAGAACAATTGCACAGGGAAGTTAGAGTTATATAGATGCTCTCAAAACATTTGTAAGTGTGCCTTCGGAAAACTAGTAAAAATATATTTCAAATTCCCTCCTGCAGACCCATGTTCCAAGATGGTTTTACTTTAAGTCTTCTCACAAGACCACATTTGAATATTTTATTCAAATATTTTATTTCTTTTTATGGTCCTGTGATGTTACCATTTTTTATGATTTTTTTTTCTATTTGACTACAGTAAAGTTTCAGTGATGCAACTGTTTTTTTCATATTGGTGAGCTTGTATAATTGTCCTCCAATTACACTACCTAACTAATGGATCGAATATTATTGATTCAGGGTAAAGACTTACAGACAGATATTTGATTTGCGTCGATCTTGGGATCTGGTCAGGCACTTCATTCTTTGTACCTTGAACTGCAGTTTACCTTAAGACCGTTGCTGATCTTTGCAGTGAACATCTATTCAGGTTCTGCTTCCACCTTACATTTTCAGAATAAATGTGCAGTTTTATCTGAGATAAGGGTTTTTTTGTGGAAAATAAGCTTATTGTTGGCTAGCTTCAGGATCTTGTTTAAGAACCATGCACACTGAATTAAGGAGTTGCTTCATATGCTTCAAATGCAGTTCATTTTCTGAAGAGAGGCAGAGGGCATTGCATGAAATATTTCTCTTTCACATTGCACCAGCATGGTCATTTTAATAATGTTTTGAATTCTGTATTAGGTTTGGTTGTCTTGCTTGCTCAGGTGCACTTTAAGCTGTTGAAGTGAACAAACAAGCAGACACAGAACCAAGCAGACTGTGGCCCATGGAGTTCTCCCTGTGTTTCCTTAGAGAACCATCTCAGGGCTTCAGATAGCTCAAAATATTCCCTCTGAGGTAATGTGGATATTAGCCAAGCAATGTACTTAGTCTTTGTCAGACAATATTTTTCCCAGAGATTGTTATCTCTTGGTTTGTCTGTATCAGAACAGGATGTATTCTAAGAGAACAATGGTAACAGAAAGGTAGGTACAGAGCTTTTTATCTGCAGACATCGGAAGGAAACTGGCCTGCTTTCCAAAATGTTTATCCTGTAGCTCTTACCAACTGTAAAAGTGGCTGAGCAGCACAACTGATCTTCTGGAGAAATCAAAGTGCTTCAGCCAGTGAGCATTCCTCTTGGTGACTATTTTAATCTTATACTTATTCCTGAAATGTACATGGCATGATAGATAACTCAAAGCTCAGAAAGTCTATTTGTAGGGACACAGTTCGTGGTAATTGGGGTGGGGCTGCAGCCGAGCCTCATCCCCAGTGGCACAGCTGTGAGCAGCAGGTGAGCAGCATTGACAGCAATGAGCCATGGAGTGCCCAGGGGCACTGACCAACCACCAAAGGGAGCAGAGGGCACACAGGTGCAGTGCATGAACATGAGGGGTTAAAGGGCTGGGCTAAAGAAGATAGGCAGATGCTTGCAGCCTTCTGAAGTGATAGGATGTTACTCTGTACAGGCAGGCGCTTGAAGCATTCTGATGTGCTGTGGTGATACTCTGTATGGGGGAAAGCTTCAAGCCTTCTGAAATTGTGTGGTGATACTTTGTGTATTATGGCTGTCTCAACTGTGGCATATGCTGCAACAACTATTGCCCTTTGGGTTTGTGCTGGCTGTCGGGGGCTGATCTGGTTGTGTGGTCCCTGCTCTGACAATATGCAGGTGTACGCTTATACAGGCACAGATCCGAAATCAGCTCCTTCTGTTCCCAGAGAATGGTGACAAGAGTGCAAAGCCTGTATAGGCTAAAGAGCAGGTAGTTGCATTTACCTGGGCAGTGGGAGAGAAAATACAATCATAGAATGGTTTGGGTTGGAAGGGACCTTAAAGATTATCTGGTTTTAGAGACGCCTTGTATTAGCCCAGATTGCTTAGAGCTCCACCCAGCAGCTTTGGTTGTGTACCCCCAAGTAGAGCTTGTGTACCTGTTAGGCTCTAGCCTTGAGCAATTCCAGGGAGAGGAAATCCACATCTTCTTTCATATAAAATATATACTTTGATCATTTTAGGGTAGTCTGCTGTTTGCATATTCTCCACAGCTGAGTTGCTAAGTGTCTAAGTGTCTCAGGTATTTCACTGTCCGTTCACTTTTATATTTAACAGTTCAGATACCAAAGTATAGGAGTAAAAAAAAAAAAAAAAAAAGCAAGGGTTGATGTGATCTGTCTGTTAGTTTTGTCTTTGCAGCAATCTTTTCCGTTCCCTAACCAAGCCTGGAAATTGGGATGCACTCTGTTTTTAGTGCACATAATATTTAAAGCTGAAACCTTTTTATTTCATTGTGCATCATAATGAAAAAGAGTAGTGCTGCAGTTCACTTTTAAACAGACAGGTTTTTCTTTGTCAAATAACAGAGTTGGGGTCATGCTCTAGACTGTAGGCCTTTAAATCAGACCGTTCATGCTTCAAGTCATGCATGGCTGCTGCTGTGTCTCAGACTGTCTCTTTCACCAGTACAGTGTCCTTCAGTGTCTTGGATACACAGGTACCCTTCAAAGGTATTCTGGTTGGGAACAAAAATTTAACCAAGAGAAACTTCAGGGCATTCTCTCAGAGAAGGTCAGCATTACAAAAATGTGACGGTTGTTGAACCATGTGAATGCTGTGGCTTTGTTCTAGCTAGAAAGAAACTGCAGGCAGGGCTGATAGAATCTTGTGTAGACCCATTTTA